AGCCATCTCAAAGAGTACCTGGTAACTGCTATCAGCCATCCTGCTCTATGCCCCAGAGATGCAAGCAATCACTGGGGGTTACTAGTGGGAGATTATCTCCCTCCCACTCCCTTCATGTTTTTCTGGGCTTGAGTGTATCTTTGATTCTCTGTCTGCTTAAGAAAACACATTTTATGATTATCAGAATAATCATTCCTTTAAATAAAAAAAAGTCAATCACTCACTTCTCCAAGAGTTATTCAAAATGTATTATTTTGCTCTCCACTCTGAAAGCTCTTCATGTTGGGTGCCTCACCAAAAATTCAAGTCATACAACACCCCCCCCCAAAAAAAATAAAATTTCAGTCATGAAAACTGTAGCTTATAGTGTTCCCAAAGGTAAAACTGACAGTGCAGAAGAACTGAAGAGCATAAGCCAGACTTTGGAGAAATCAACACTTAATACCCACAGTCCAACAGTATGACAGAGTCTGAGCCCAAGGGAAAGACTGTGGGTCCATTGCCCTCACTGATGTATTATCCTGCCGCACTTGATCAGCCACACCACACAGCTGCTCCCTACAGCCCTCAAAACACATGGGCTGGAGGCTGGGGTCCCAGCAAGACATCACAATTTATATTGAACTCATAGCAATTCTGTCCTTACCTTGTACCATTGCTTCCTGCAGGCATTTGGGGTAAAAAGTCATGTCCTGGGTGTTATTGAAAGGTATGTCTAAATCAATTGTCTTTTTTGGGGGGAGCAAGTTGGACATAAGAAGTAGAGATGAGGGGGGAGGTGTGGAAGCTGAGGGGAGAGGTCAAGGAGAGATATACAAGACAGTTCTCACAGATGGCAGTTGGCCTGCCTCTGCATCTTGGTAAGAGACTCTGGCACAATCTCCCATGATAAGATACCCTCAGGGATTAAAAATGTTTGCTGTTCTTCCAGAGGACCAGAGTTCAGTTCCCAGCACCCACATAAGACAACTTACAATTGCCCATAATTCCAGCTTCAAGGGATCCAGCACCCTCTTCTGACCTCCATGGGCACCTGCACATACTTGGCACTCTCTCAAACATGTACGCATAAATAAAGATAATCAACATTTTAAAAAGAAAAATGAACATACCCTCCAAAATAGTAGGATATCTTTACCTTGGGCTTGTAGGGTGACATGACAGACAAGAACTTGAAGAAAACTCAAGGTGGAATCAATAATGTCTAGTTCAAATCAATTCTGAGAAAACATTTGGAGAAGAGAAACCATTCTAAACCTGCAAATTAGAGGAGAGGTGACATAAAGTAGAAAGGTTAAGGCAGATAAAGCACTCAGGCTAGTCTCTCTTCCAGGCTGGTCCTCTCATACCTTAGTAAGGGCATCTTCTCTTTTAATAAAGATTTGTTTGCTGACTACAGTGTGTTTCCTCTGTGTATGTATTTCTCCCTGAATGCTCACCAAGAGTACAAGAACAGAGGAAACTTACCACAGCGCTTTCTGCAGCCCCAAGTCCATCCACCCACCTCTTTGCCCTCTCTAATTTAATTATCACTCTTTCTCTCTCTCCTGTAGGTACTGCTATAAAAACCACATTGACACCCACTTTTAAATGGTGGAAACCTGGAAAAGATGGGCTCATAACCAGCTGGTTGCATCATAAAAGTATAGTTCTGAATGGGAATAAAATAAGGACAAATATTGCAATTTCATACATGCACATAAATCAAAAATGCATTTGGGAGAAACCGTCATAGCTCAGTGGTAGGGCTTTGGTATAGCCTGCCTCAAGGCCCTTTTTTGACCCTCGGTTCAACAAATAGCAACAATAATGTCATTACTATTAAAAATGTATATCACATGAAAATGCATTCATCTCAAATAGTGTACATGACCACAAAAAAAATCTATAAATGTATTAAATAGTTGTCAGTGGGGATTAGAGTTAGAGGTAATAGAACTGATGAATAAGAATTTAAGAAATTAAAAATATTATGAAAATAAATCACATTAACTCCACGACTATCAACTCTTTGCTCCATTTAAGCAACTGAAAGGATCTAAGCATACCCAGGGCTTTATGTAGCTATTCAATACCCACTTCTTCACAATGAATGTCTCTCTCCCTATTGTTTACATCTTTTCTCTACCACTCAATTTTTTTTTTTGTAATGTTGGGATTGAGCCAGGTCCATGAACATGCCAGACAAGCACTCTACCACCTAGCTACATCCCCACCCTCTTTTATTTTTATTATGAAACAAGACCTCACCAAGTTGTCAAACTAGCCTTGAACTCACTATACAGCCAACTTAACCTGCCAGGCTGGTAGGATTACAGGTATGAACATTACACCCAGTTAAAACAATTTCCTCATTTCTTTATGCTGATCCTCCTCCTTTCTTTCTTATGGACACCCCTAGTTTCTCAAGCCTTGGCCGCTTCAAACAAATCCTGGTCCTTCCTCCATACTTTGTTACTTCCTCAACATTGTGATAGAATACCTGACAGAAGTCACTTAACATGGAAAGGATTTGTTTAGACTCCTGGTCTAAGAGGGTACACATGGTGGGAAAAGCATGCACGGAGGTTGGACCAGCTTTGTCTGTGCCAGAGAATGGGATGATGACTGGTTATTAAGTGCCACAAACCAGGAAACAAGAGAGCTTGGGTGGGAAGTAGAATGAACCTTGGCCATCTTGGTTGTAAGTCTACAATATAGGCTCCATCAATAAAGGTTCTATAATCTCCCAAAACTGTGCCACCAGCTAGGGACCAAGCATTCAAAGTCCTGAGCCTGTTAGGGAGGTGTTTCACATTGAAATCATAACCTCCCACCTTTGGTCCCCTTATGCCAAAGCTGTTTCATAGTGCAAAATCAATCTAGTCACACTTCAAAAGTCCTCACTTCTAACACTGTTCAAAAGCCACCCATTTCTTCTGTGGGGCAATCTCTTAACGATACGCACTTTTGATGCAAAAGAAAAAAAGTTAGACTTCTAATATGCAGTGGCATATAGTAACCATTCCTGTTCCAAAGGGGAAATATTGAGACATAGCAAGAAAAGACTAGACCAAAGCAACCCAGAAACCCAGCAAGGAAAACACCAAATCCTAAAGCTCCATGTCTAGCATCTGGATTACAATTGACTTGGCTAGATCCATGCCACCTGAAGCAAATGTGAGCTCTCTCTTGTGCTAGCTTCACTCGAGTGCCCGCATGTTTCCTTGGTGTCCATGTGTTCCTGATACCTTGAACATCCTGGCATCTCCACGGCGTCTTGTGTTTCACCTTCACAACTTCATGCAATGGCCTAACATGGCCTCCTTCCTGGCAGGGGAGATGAGAGGCAGCACATTTCCACACCTCATTAGTTTTTCCTCTGGAACTGTCTCACGAGCTTCCATGACCCTGTCACTCGTTTTACATGCCTACACAGCAGCACCACATAAACGGCAGTACACTCTGAAGCCAGATTTAGATGCAGTCTATTCGCCCCTGGAGCTTGACTGCTGTGGTCTCAGGGTGCTTGCTTCCCTGTATCAGTAAGAACATTTACCTACCCAGTCATGTTAGAGCAGGATGCCCTAGAGTGAGGTCTTAACTTACAGCTACCACTTCTGCTATCTCAGGCAGATTCTCTTTCATTACACTAAGCTCTTTAACATCACTCTGTCCACAGCCATTTTTTCTACAACTATAGAGTTATAGTTATACTTCTTTCATCTCCAACCTGCACATCTTCCATATCTTTCTGTTCCCACTTTCTTCTCAAATTTATCACTGCAAATCTGGCTAACATAGTCAGCAATAACTGTACCACAGCCTGAACACTATGCTCGCTCCCAAAATTTTTGTCTCTCCCAAAAAAATCATTCCAGTAACTTTTAATTCAGCAACACTCAGATCTCCAAACATGAGTAGAACAAAGCCAGATTATTTGCAAAAGCATAGCATAAACGAACTCTGTCCCAATTTCCAATTTCATCCTTGTTTTCCTCCAAAATTTCATGAGTACAGTCTTTACTGCCCACATTCCTATTCCCATTCTGAACTCCTACCATAACGGCCCATTGGGTTTCATTGACACTCTCAGGCTGCTCTAGTTCACAACTCCAAACACTTCCACATTCCTCCCACAATGCAACTCTAAAGGCCTATAGACCACATGGTCAAGTTTATTATAGCAGTGACCATCCCCCACTTCTCAACTAATCTCTTCTCTTGTCGCTCTGACTGAAAACATGACAAAAGCAAGTTAAGGCAGGAAGGACTTCCTTTGATTCATAGTGCGAGAGAGTGCAGTCCATCATGATGGGGATATGGACGGCATGGAGGCTGGACCAGCTTGGTCCGTGGCAGTGGCAACAAGGGGCATAGGTGTTTCTTACATGTCACTGACCAGGAAGAACATAGCTTAGGCTGGAAGGATAGTCTGCCAAATACTCACAAGCTCTGCTCCAGTGGTCCAATGTCTGCTAACTTCCTTGCATGTCCCAGAGGTCCCATAACTTCCCATAGCAGTGCCACCAGGCTGGGGTCAAGTGTTCAGATGCATGGACACATGAGGATCATTTTCTATTCAATCCAATTTTGGATATAAACACTTTACACCCAGACTAACTCTGTGACTGCCCTTCTACAGAGCAATTCACTCTGGTGAACCTGGGGTGGAATACAGGCTTACAAAATGAGCCCAGGAGAACTTGGTTTGTCTTCTTTTTCAGTCGCCCTCTCTCTCCCTTATCCTCCTTTCCCGTCCCTTCACTTTCAACTTCCTTTGCCACCCTTCCTTTCTCTGCCCTTCATTTTTCTCACTATTTAAGGCACTGTTCTAACAATGTCAGGCTCTGGGGGTTTACCTAAGTGCACTTGGAGTCGGCAGTCTGCAGTCCCCTTTCTAAAGCCTCCTCCCTCTTCTAACATCAAAGTCCAGCTGGTCAGTGAGCATTTGGAGCTCTTCCTCCCACTGACCTGCTGCTTCCACAGGATTTTGGAGTTTGCTTCCTTTCTGGAAAGAGATGGCGCTAGCCTGGAGAAATCTGCAGAAAGCCTTCTCCCTGGAGACCTCTCTCAGAATCCTCCAGATGTGTCCACCCTCGTGCCGTGAGTGGAAACCAGGGGACATGGGTCAGCAGAGGGCCCACAGAGGGGGGAAGCCTGAACTCTGGAGCCTGTTGCCTAGGACTGAGATCATTAGAGCTGGGTGAGGACTCGGGATTTTAGAGTTAAACTTGTAACAGCCAATGGTTCTGAGCCTTTCTGGTGCAGTGTTTCTATTTAAGTCAATATTGTATAATGACCCCCATTTGCCCTGAAACTAATGAATAACAAAATCGCGTAATACACAAACTAGATTTTAAAACCAGTTATCTCCACTTTGATATCTCCCCAGCCTGATCCAAGCCTAATGCTTCAAACAGTATTTTCTTTCATCTTTGGTTCAACCTGCAACTGAGTCCTATTATATTGTCCCACACATGAGAAGACAAATGACAAGAAATGATTAAGAAATGTGGTCAGGGGTGGGAGAGATTGCTCAGTAGTTAGGAGCACTTGCTCTTCTTTTTGTAAAAGACCAGGGTTCAGTTCCCAGCATCCACATGGCTGCTCACAACCATCTGTAACTCAGGTTCCAAAAGATTCAATCATTTCTCCTCATCTCTGTACCAGGCATGCACATGGGGCACATACATATGAAACTCTAGGATGGTGGAGCTGGCTTAATGGTGGTAGCAGGTGAGGCATGGTGCCTAGAAAGCTTTTGTTCTATTGGTTTCCTTTTTTAACTTTTAAATGTTTCATTTTTATTTGACACGGTAATTGTGCATGCTTATAGAGTATATTGTGGTAATGTGATACATGTAACTAATGTGTCAAGATCAAGTTAGGATGATTAGCATTCTTAACTCCTTACGAGTTTTTGTGTTTGGAGCCTCTGGCCTCCTGTGGTGGTTTGAATGAGGGTGGTCCCCATTGGCTCATATATTTGAATACTTAGTCACCAGGGAGTGGAACTGTTTAGGGAGGACTAGGAGGTGTGACCTTCTTGGAGAAGGTGTGTCACTGGGAGTGGACTTTAAAAGATTTCAAAAGCACATGCTAGGCCCAGTATCATTCTCTCTGCCTGCTCCTGTGGATCAGGATATAAAGCTCTCAGCTACTGCCCCAGCACCATGCCTGTCTACTTCCTGCCATGATTGAGCTTGGGCTAACCCTCTGAAACTGAAAGCAAGCCCCCAATTAAATGCTTTTTTAAAAAGGATTGTCTTGGTCATGGTGTCTCTTTGTAGCAATAGAATAGTAGCTAAGACACTTCCTCTCTTCTAGTTCTTTGTAACACACACAACAGGTTACTGTAACCCAATAAACCTACTGTGCCACAGAACACTAGAATCAGTCCTAGGATGTTATGTGACTCAAACACTAGAATGTTACATGACTCATTTAGTCATTGTTCCTTATATCCTTCCAGACTCTAGTAATCACTCTTCTACACTCTTCTCCTTTGACATACACTATTTTAGCTTTCATATAAAGAATATGAAATCTTTCTTTTTGCTTTGACTAACATGTATTGCTTAACATAATGTGCCCCAGTTCCAATCATTTTTCTGCAAATGACAGGACTTGATTCTTTTCATGGCTGAATAATATGTTATTATGCATATTCACCACATTATCTTTGCTCAATCTTTCTATTTCTTCATCCAGATAGGCACTTCTTTGATTCCATGTCTTGTCTATAGTGAATAGTGCCACAATAAACATAAGCATGGAATATACTGGTTTTTTTCCTTTGGGTATAAAACAAGAAATGGGACAGCTGAATCATGTGGTAGATCCATCTTTAGGTTTTTGAGAAATCTCCATACTGTTTTCTATAACAGCTATCCTAATTTACATTCCAAATAATGGCACATAAGAATGTCCTTTCTCTACAGCCTCAACAATATTTGTTTGTTGTTTTGCTTAGCTTGCCTTTCTGATACCAGCCATTTTGACTTAAGAGAGGTGATACTTTATAGTCATCTCCAGTTGCTTTTTGGAGGTCTTAATCAATTTATTGGAGACCCTACATAGAATTCTATCAAGAAAACTATGAAAACAATCTTTTTTAAACAATTTATTTATTTTTATTTTATGTGCATTGGTATTTTTGCCTGCATATATGTCTGTGTGAGGCTGTTAGATTTTGGAGTCATAGACAGTTGTGTGCTGCCATGTGGGTGCTGGGAATTGAACCCGGGTCCTCTGGAAGAGCAGTCAGTGCTCTTAACTGCTGAGCTGTGTCTCCAGTCCCCCATGAAGACAATCTCGCACACTCATGCCACATAAATTTTAAACACTGTTCTTTCCCTAGCCCTCCAAAGACTCTTGAAAGTCCTATGCCTACTTGCTTACCATGTACATATATGTGTGTGCTTATGTTTGTTCATCCAATCATACACATTTAACATTCTTCATGTATGCATGGTATGTGCAAAATATTCAAAATACTTAGGCATCTACTAAGTGTGTCTTAGTATTACATAGTCACAATGAGCAAGCAAAGTCCATCCTTGCATATCCCACAGGTGAGACAGGAATGAACAGACAAAAAGCCAAATATAAGAGGAAAATGAAGGAAAGGGAGGTAGAAAAATAAAGTGGGGCGTCTAGGGTAAATAAAGAGGTTATATGCTTTAAGCGTTTTGATGTGTAAAACCATAAAGTAAGTCACAATCTTCTGAAGCCTGTGTATTTACTGTGTGGTATTGGTACATGTAAATTATTTAGCCTTACCTGCCTTGATTCATACAGTCATTCTGGTCTAAAGATGCATATATAGTTATGGAAATAATTCATTTTCAATACAGAGTGGAAATACATTTTTAAATATTTTTGTTCTTTGAAATGTCCCTACATTTATTCAATGTATATAAATCACATTCATCCACCATCACCTTCCCACTCTCCCAAGTGCCCCCCCACATCATCTCCCTCCCATAGCCATTTTTTATTTTATTTTATTTTTTTAATAATGTTGAATCCAGTTAGTACTTCCCATAAGTATATAGGAATGTGGCCATGCACTGGGTCATGAGAACCTTACTAGAGTCAATGTCCTCAAAGGCCGCAAATCAAAGACTGAACCCAAGAGTGATTCTCTCTTCCTCAACAGCCATCAACTGCCAATATCTCCTCCGATTGAGGCAGAGCTTTCTTTCGAGCTCCTCCCTCAACTGTGCTGGAAGTTTGACTGGCTTTATCTCAGGCAGGTCACCACAGCAAGAGTAGAAAATACTTTAAAGCTGCATCTTTTCTAATAGCTAAAGTTCCAAACTTCATAGCATTTTCAGGGAAGTGGAGATTATGCCCCAATGTGCTGTTCTGACACCTTTTCTCTCACACAAAGGAAGGGTACACAGGAGACTACATGGATGATAAATGATGTCCATTACCCACTGACGAACTCTCCCCAACATGCCACTTCTGGAAAAACTTCTCAAAGAAAGCAATTAAACAGAGTTATTCTGATTATCAGGCCCCTCACTTGCACCCTAGGCTGATCTCAGAGAAAGCTGATCCCAAAAGGACTGTAAGGAACACCTCCCAGCCCCCAAATCAGCTAGAGTTTTTGCATGTGCGCAATCAACAGCAGCTGCTTCTGTTTTACTTCAGCAAAAGGTTAAATTAAAAGGCCGTGGAGGAAGGAAGGGGAGGCTCTGAAACAATAAAGGTAATACACAGAATTAGACATGAAGAGAGGTCAAAGAAGGTGAGCCAGCAGGAGCCATGAATTCTAGAAGGAACCTTCTCACAATGGCTTTGCGGGTGAGAGGTACACATCTAGCTTGGTTATCCTTTCACTTAGCATAGGGCAGAGAAACGGGTGTTGTGGTCTCGTGGAGGAGTGGGTAGTACAGAACAAGCAACAACATTGTCTTCCTGCTGCAGAACAGTGACAGGACAAGGAGACCACCCTTCAGTCTGATAACCAGCACCTCCAGTGCAGAGAGAGCAAAGGAGAGAGAGAAAAAAAAATTAAAGCAAACATTTTCCCCTCTGATCAGCCCTTGTCCCTTGCACCTCTGTATCCCAAGGTAGCGTCAGCAGGCTTCCTTGGCAGACAGCATGTCAATCTTTCACTGCCTCAGTGACAGCAGATGGATGATTTCCCAACTCATTGTCTATCCTAACTATCGATCAGGTAGAAAATGGGATGTGTGTATTTAAAGTTACCCAAAAGATGCTCTACAGAAATAAGACATAAATCATACTTGGATATGTCACACTGCATGGAGTACATTGTGTGCTGCCAAGCTCTTGTAACTCTTTTTTTAATGTCAAGGGTGAAGACTATAGATAAATACTCCTCCTTAGCTGAAAAAACACTTCAGGAAAAAAAGATTCCCTGAGAACTCCCAAACGCCTGTAAAAGATTGATTTCTCTCACTACTTTGCCCTCTAGTTTTCCCCTTTGTAATACTGTGATTTTGAGGAAAGAAAACAAAATTTAAGCAATTTGTCTGCTGTGGAACTCTAAAAAGGAGATAGCTGGGAAGTTAAATCCAATTGCCTACTTGGTATTAATTATATGAGTGGTATTGTGCTCCAAATTCAATTCCATGATAATGTCTGGAGTTGTCTGTGTGAGATGAAGTGGTGAAAATCAGTGCTACCATCTGTGTTTAGTCTAAAAATTACAATGTCAGATAAGTAAAAACAACAAAACAGATACATAAAAGTACATATTCATAAAAACACCAGTTCACAGAAGACTTGTACTTCAGCATCTTTACCCCACCCCCCTCCCCCCCACACTCCTTGTGCACACATACATGTTTATATATATGTACACATATACTTGAACCAATGAGAAACTTTATCAATGCCCAACTGTCACAGCACACTCAAAACACAGGCTGTTTTACACAACAAATGCAATTATTTCTGGAGACATGTTGATTTTCATTTTTCTAACAAATAAGGGTTTTAATTTATTTTTATTTATTGATTTTCATATGACTTGTAAAGTTTGTTTATTGAGAGGGGCAGTATGTCAAGAAAGATTTTCCAAGTATTACATAGATGCAATTTACTTACGGAATACTTCTTTTTTTCTTTTTGTTTGCTGGCTTATTTCTCTTTCATCCTTCTTTACTTCCTATCTTCCTTTTATCTATTTTTCCTTTTCTCTTTAATGTATTTATGGATTTCACTTAGAATCCTTCTTCACCATTCATATGCTTCTCCCTTTGTTGAATGAGTGAGTGAGTCTGCCTTGACTATTTAAAATTGCAGCTTTTCTTTGCCAAATCTTTTCCATCAACTTTCTTCCCTTCCTCTCTTTCCTTAACTCTTACAGCCATATAATCAATGAACTTACAGCCTCTTCATTGGGCAACTCCAATTTTACAGATAAGACTGGCAGAATAAAGGGATTTTGAATTCTCAGAAACACCCTTTTTTCTCCATTTCAGGAGAGTGACTAGCACAGAGGTACACAATTAAAAAGCTTTCAGAAGATGAAATTCTCAGAAAACTTAAGCTGTCTTTTTTCCTGTCATTCTTGTGCATAGATAACCAAAAGCCACTTACTTTTAAAATAAGAGCAAATTCATGACATCAGTGGTTATTTGGAGCAGAAAAGGAATGATTGGTTTTTTGAAAGAAAATACGTGCACAGTTATTACATCTGTGGTTCATTTAGAAACACATTGCTCATTGAGTTTCTCAAGACTGTGACTTCACAGTCACACAACATCAGCTGTCCTTCATACCATCAAAGCTTCATGCTGTTCTGGAGGTATCACTTCCTCAGTTCTTTCCAACTATGAAATTACCTTAAAATTGACTTCAAATCTTCAAAATTGGGAGCATTCTCTTCCAAGAGTACTCATAAAGACTCTAGATATCTGCTCTGATAGTCTCTAACTGCATTCATTGTACCTCCCCACTTATAGTGTGTTCAAAGTCTATGCTGTCAAGAAAAGGTAAGCAGAAAAAGAATCCTAGGCCGGAAGTCGACAGCTTGTAGTTTCATTCTTGTTCTTCTAACAAGCATGGTGAACTTGAACAGCAGAGTGACTATAACGCCTTTGGCTTACACATAAGAATTTCAATACCACTTCCCAGCCTAAAAGTCTCTGCTAACTCTAAGAATTTAATGATTCTTCCTTCCCAATCTTTCTCCCTTGTCAGCAGTCTTAGCTTGGTGGCCCTTTCCTAAGGAGAGGGTGCTACCCTACAGACCTGTTTGCAGGAATTAATACAGCCCATCACCTAACACCCATTTCTACTTGTTCCCTACTAGAAGAGCCAATGGCAATGAATTTCATGTATGGAGAGTCACCCAGGTATCAGGCACTGGACCACACAATGGAGTTCAGTAACTAAGCATATCAGAGCTTAGAAAACACATTTATTAACAAAGTGGATGGACATTCACTACAGGCTGCATTGCCTTCTGACAATAAATATTTAGTCAATGAAAAGTAGGGTTGGGGGTTGGGGATTTAGCTCAGTGGTAGAGTGCTTGCCTAGCAAGCACAAGGCCATGGGTTCAGCCCTCAGCTCTGAAAAAAAAAGAAAGAAAGAAAGAAAGAAAGAAGGAAAGAAAGAAAGAAAGAAAAAGAAAAGTAGGGTTGGCTTGAACTGAAGTCTCTAAGCTTGTGAGAGGGGCTATGTGGGGGAAAGACTGCTACTTCCTTACCCTCCTTATCTTTTTGTACTAGATTCAAGCATTTTTCCTCCAGAAAATACATTATTGAGATATCCCAGTGTTAAAATCAAACTAATGTGATTTTATTAAACTAAGAAACAAAATTGCCTAATTGATTCAGGTAACTCTAAGTGATTGACACAAAGAGATCTAAGTCATCTTTAGTTGAAGATCCTAACTCACTTCATTTCAGTAGGTGCTTCCTGGATATCTGTATCCAGGCTCACTCTTCATACAAAGCCCAGCATGCCATCATGTGACTTCTCACCTGAGAGATACCAGGTAAGACTCGGGCTTTCAGAAAAGAAAAAAAGGTCTCCCTTGGGAGACCCCAAGACTTCCAAAGCTGTTCCCCTAAAAGGATCCACAAATAACCCTGCTTTGTAAGTCAACAGTTTTATCCTAGATATCCCATTCTTTAAGTGTTAGGAAGTATCTGAAGCCTTCTTACACTATTTACTAGCTACATATGAACTGTTAAGCATATGGGAGACTGAGAGACAGAAAGCACCAGAAAGGACTACTACAAGATCACACACACACACACACACACACACACACACACACACACACACACACACACACACACACACACGGCAGTGACTCAGGTCACTCAGGTCAAGAGTGTGAAATCACTTATTTTCTTTTTTAAAATGTTGTTATCTTAATTTATAAATATCAAAGCACCACATGATCTTCCTTAGTTCTCCCCACCAAAAAGCATAGTTACTTTCCTGTTGTTAGATTAATACTGATTTCTCCTCTTTCTGTCTCCTTCCTCCCCCTCTCTCACACACACACAACAATCCTTTTGTTCTGTATCATATTTGTTGGACCCATATATTAAAGTCAATAATCAGGAGCTCTCTACAAAAGGAAGACATAGGTGTGATGGTTAGTGTTGTCACCTTGGTAGATTCTAAAATCACCTGCAAAACAGCCCTCTTGCATGCCCGTGGGCAATTATCTTGATACCATTAACTGTTGTGGAAAAACTCCCATCTTAATCGTGAGTGGGAACATTCCCTGAGCTTGGGGTACTGGACTGAATAAAGAGTAGAAAGCTGACTGAGCACACACACTCGTTCTGCTTCATGGTTGCAGGTACCACGTGACCAGCTCTGTCAATTTTCTACCACTACAGCTTTCCAGCATGACAGACTGAACCTGAACTGTGACCCAGAAGAAACTCTCTTTAGGTTGCTTTTGTTTGTGCTCTTTTGTTTTTGTTTTTCCAGGTTTTGGTTTTTGAGACAATGTCTCTCTAAGTCCTGGCTATCCTGGAACTCCCTTTGTGGACCAGGCTGAACTTAGACTCGCAGAGATCCTCCTATCTCTGCCTTCTAAGTGCTAGGATTAAAGGTGTGAACTCCTCATGCCCAGTCTTATGACACGTTTGTCAATTTTTTATTATAGCAATGGGAAAAAACTTGAAGATGTTGGGAGCAGTTTTATTATCTAAAACATGGTGGGTTATTCAGCTCAGTGAATAAAGTTTTGACTAGGAAGTATAGGACCTTAATTCAGATCCCCAGCCACCACATAAAATTCTGGGCACGGCAGCAGATGTTTGTAATCCCAGTGGCACTGGGAAAACAGAGACTGGGAACTGCTGGGGCCTGCCAGCTAGCCCTCCTAGCAGAATCAGTGAGATCCAGGTTCAGTGGGAGGTCCTGTCTCCAGAAATGAAGGTGAAGAACAATTGAAGAAGATACTCAACATTGACCATTGGCCTCCACGCACATACACAACCTGTGCACACACTGCAACCTGTGCACACACTGCACATGCCTGTGCATCTGCACACACACACAAACACAGAGAGAGAGAGAGACAGAGACAGAGACAGAGACAGAGAGAGACTGACAGAGAGAGAGACAGAGAGAGACAGAGACAGAGGCAGAGAAATATATTCAGAGAGAGAAAGAAAGCTTTGGTCTGAAGCTCAGTGGTCAAGCCCTGGCCTAGCATGCACAAAGCCCTGAATTCAATGGCCAACATCATACTTACTTCATTTATTTAGTTTTTTGTTTATTTTGTTTTTATTTGAGGCAGGGTCTCTCTATGTAGCCCTGGCTGTCCTGGAACTCACAGAGACCTACCTGCCTCTGCCCCCAAGTGCTAGAATTAGAAGTGTGTACCGCCACGGCCAGCCATTTATTTAGGTTTGTTTTTTTTAATTTTCATAAACCTATAGGGGCAAAAATGGCATTAATGTAACCACTTATTTCTAAGTTTTCTCCATGGAGAGATGGGAATTCCAACTCCTTTCTTCAAGGACATGCTAGGGAAAAAAATCATAAATAAAAAGGAACATAGTAAGAAATGTCACCTGCTAAACAGAAAGGACTTCAGTTCTTCAGAACACACTGGGTAATGTGCCTATTTGTAAGCCTGCCCAGCAGTCAGTCATGTGTTTGGGCCCCTAAGGGGTGAAGCCCTGATATACTGGTCTGCTCTTCATCCTGTAGGACCAGGAATAAGAAAGCAAATTTTAATCTGTCTACCTGTAGTCCCTTCCCTACAGCCGTGCCCTGGAGATTCATAAGAAGCACCTTTCTCCTGTGGAAACAGCGTATTTCCAGAAGCCTTTGCTGCTCCATCAGGGACACATGGAGTGGCTCTTTGACTCAGAGGGAAACAGATACCTGGACTTCTTCTCTGGGATTGTAACTGTTAGTGTTGGTCACTGCCACCCGTGAGTATCCTTAAAATCCAAGGGGAGGAAGGGGGGCGGGTGTTGCACTCCAGAAAAACAAGGAAAATGAGTATTCGTGTCACTTAGAATCCTTGATTGATATATTCTGACTTTAAATTATGTATGCTACAGTCTGTGCTGACATGGACCTACATACTTTCCTCTGTAAGGAAAAAAAAAAAACTTAAAAAAAAAAAACTTGATTCTGTACTTTTTTCCTTGCTAGTGGAAGCTTTGATCATTCCTCTTGCATACACAGCATGGCAGGCACCATGTGATTCAGTGTCTCTCTGTGTGTTTCGTGATGGAGAAAACTTGGCAAAGACAGTGATCCACACACTGAGGAAAGGAACATGTGGCAGACTGTCAGGCAAACACGGAGAGAGGCGCAGGGCATGAAGTATGAACCATGAGAAGCAACTGCTAAATCCATGATGGATCATGTTTGTGGACTCTGAGAGGTGGATGAGGAATGCAATTGTAACCGAGAGATGGAACCCTAGTTAGAAATTTCCTTAGAAACGTGTGAAATAAAGTTGAGACTGTCTAAAGCCTTGACCAGCTCTCACACACACACGCTTTTCAGCACCTTTCTCCCTAATCCTCTGGGTTTCTATGTGGCCATTCCATTTTTTTTAACTTTTATTATATAATATGCTATTTTATTAATAGTTATGATGATGCTTTTTCAAGTGTTCTTAACTGAAAGAGGACTCCATCACTTTCCCCTCCCTTCCCACCCCAACCCCTCCCAACCACCCTCTCTTCAGACCTTTCCCACACTCCACCCACTCTCAAGTTGACAGCCTCTTTTTCTTGATTATGTTTGTTAGGTAGAAATGTGTGTGCACACATGTATATGAACACAGCCTGCTTATTTCATTGTGTTGTTTATGTGTACGCAGTTTCAGAGCTGATCACTCAGCATTGGGCAACCAGTAAGGGGGCTCATCCCTGGGAGAGGCTAACTCTCCTCCTCCCAGCAGTCAACGGCTGCCTGTAGTCCTTTTTCTAGGGGTGGGGCCCAGAGAAATTCCCCCCATCCACGTTAACAAGGTCAGTGATGTTGCCATTGTTCCGCCCGTGGTTTTGCAGCCATTTCTAGGATAGGCTGTTTCACAGCTGACTTCTGGTTTTCAGACTCTTACTATCTTTCTGCCTCCTCTTTTGTGGTGCTTCCTGAACTGTCGATGGTCTGTTCTCTCTGGCCCTTAAGAATTTGGTGATGGACCCCATTACAATAAATTTTAAATAAAAATTTTTAAAAAAGAATTTGGGGATGAACTTAATGTTTATATATGCATATATAATTATATAGATATATAATTATATGTACACATATAGAATAGTGTGGAAAGCAGCACAGACAAAATAATTTGAATGATTGGAGGCCTTCCTTTCAAAGCAAGGGCCGAGAGAACTCTCCTGCACCTGCTAACAGGAGAAGAGACATGACTCGGGCCCCACACTCAGCCTTCTCCTTTTCTACTTCCTATTCTTTCCCCTTCTGTTTTTGGGAGGTGAAAGTCCCAATGAGCCTCCAAGCTAAATTTCAGAAGCCCCTTAAAGTGAAGTACAAATGTTCATGACAGCAGAAAGCAACATGAGCAGAATCCTCCAGGCACTGACTATGTTCCTAGCAGTAGACAGTTCTTACTCACTCTCTTGACCTTTTTACAGCATCTAATGACCCCGACTCTGGGGATTCTGGTTCTATTTTTATCTCTTCTCTCTTCTTCTTCTTTCTGCTTTTTTCCTCTCACCATCTCACCACATTTCTTTACCACCACCCTCTTGCCCTGTTTATTTAGTTACACTTTCAACAGCTTTATCCAATTTGGTATCTTCAGCCTTGGTCCCTCACCAAAACACAATACTAAGTTGCATATACTCAGGGAGGGTATCATGATGTCCCACATTCCTCAATACCATGCAGGATATCTCCCATCCCAACATATTCTAAGACTAAATCCATCTTCTCCACAAAACTGACTATTTTCCTTTAATCCCAGCACTCGGGAGGCAGAGCCAGGCGGATCTCTGTGAGTTCGAGGCCAGTCTGGGCTACCAAGTGAGTTCCAGGAGAGGTACAAAGCTACACAGAGAAACCCTGTCTCGAAAAACAAAAAACAAAACAAAAAAAAACTGACTATTTTATTCACATAATCACTTATTCAAGAAATACATGTGACCCCTCTGCTGGAAACCTGACTGTCCCTCAATTATTCCTGGAATTTGCCCAGGATTGAAGGCAAGAAAGTCAGTTGTCTTTGAGTTTTCCTCCTTTTCATTTCCTACAGCCAACCTGATGCCATAGATCTAAGGCCTCCACCAAAACTCTCTTTTCCTCTTCCCACAGTTCTCATTAACACAAGTGTTTTCAGAGCTCTTCTGCTCTCCAGAGGAAGACCACCTTGCCCACTTAGCTGGCCACCACATTACCAGTAATCCATGCCCCCTCCATTCTACATGTCATGTGGCTCTTAGATTTACTTCTATCAGCAATGCTGTCAAGGATCTCATCTCTTCAAAAAGTCAATGACACTTTACAATTTTCTTAAGTAAGCTTTGTGGAATGATAACCACAGGAGTTGTTCCATGGAAAGCATTCCAGGAAAAGATAACAATACGGTACACTATGAACTTCTCCTCTCTCCTTCTTAGAGAGCAGCAGTATGCCAAGCAAAGGCACTAGCAAGTCCCACAGTAGAGAAATTTGTTTAGCCTGATAGTTTTCAAAATTATTCAACCATTGAACTAATTTTAGGTGTATTAGGTATTAATAGCAAGCAGAATTGGTGTGAATCAAACCCAAGACACTGCTGCCATTTATAGATCAAGTTCAATCACCTTTCTCCATCTTCTCAAGACCTTCCTATTTGGGCCCCACATGTTTATCTGCCCTTAGTTGCTACCTGCCTTCATTATGAGCCTTCTCATATGAAAGGTTAAGCTGATTCTTAAAGAATGACACTTCAGCACTACAAAATACTCATCACCACTGATCACTGCTCCAGTGAGTTCACATTTGAAATCTGCCTCCTGACACTGTTGAAGAAGTAGCCAAGAGTCCAGGTTCAGTGACCCAGGGGAGAGAACATGCCTGTTGGTGGTGTGCACTTGACTGGTTTTGTGTTTCTCCAGGAAGGTAACTGCTGTGGCACAAACACAGATGGACCGCCTGTGGCATACAAGCTCTGTCTTCTTCCACCCTCAAATGCACGAATACGCAGAGAAACTTTCAGCACTTCTTCCTGAGCCTCTTAAGGTAGAGTGCTCAGTGCTCCCAGCTCACAAGGACGGTGACCTATGAGCCCAAGGGATTTGATCTGGGCATTGAAAGTCTGTCATGGTGAGCAGATAGTCATACCTAAAAGTGCTCAAGCTGAAGAGAAGGATCTCTAAGCTGCTGATGAAACAATCCAACTTTCACATGTGTTCCCGCTGAGTCCCCTCTCCAGGTCACCTCTTTATATCTTTACAGAAATCTCTCTTAGGAATCCCAGTCCTACAGATGCTCCTAGGCATTTTCAAGAAATTTCCTTCTCTTTGTTCAACATTGTTTCTGAAAAGTTATTTTCATTTCTTCTCTTATAAAAAAAGTGAGGCCATTCCTTATAAATAACATTTGTCTAAAATGCGCTTAGATGTTTTAACTGACTGAGATATTTTCTGCATCTGAGATGAATTAAAGTTGACACTGAACTGACATCTAAAGATGTTTGCCAAGATTTAAATGCAGGCATTAAATGAATATATAAGTGTGTGTGTGTGTGTGTGTGTGTGTGTGTGTGTGTGTGTGTGACCCAGATTAGTGCTCAATATGTGGCTTTAGTTATTATTTTACTCTATCATCTCAATACTCCATTTACTATACTATACAGAATACAAAAAGGAAATTTGGAATGGCCATCTCTGTGTTCAGATCCAGATCTCATAGCAGAGTAGAAATGGAGTAATTGGAAAAACCATTAATGCATGCCCCCTTTTTCCTGGCTGGAGGAGCTAGACCTCTTCAGTTCTTCTCTCTGTTTTATTCAGACTGAGATGCATTTTGTTTCCACAGTTGCACAGCAACATCCAACCGGGATAACCCCTTGAGGTTGCTAGGTTGGGGCCCTGCCTCATTCCATGCCTTCAGAGTTAAGTGGAATGGATTAGGTGTGGGAACCAAAAGACCTCATTCATGATATTCTCTGCTACTGACCACTGTGAGCCTCTCAGAAAGTCTTCCTGTCTTCACGTTTTGCAGCTCATCAATTAAGTCTAATAAAAGCTCAGATTTTTGCAAATGAGTCAGCCTCTTAGTCAGTTTTGTTAGCACTCAACAGCTGTTCAAGGGAGGGCTACGGAATTTATTTAGTAGTTAAAAGGGAGAAGTGATCAGAAGCAGAAGCTGACCTGAAGGGAAATCTCTTTAGTAGAAGCTGGAATACATAGCCTTTAGCAATTTTGCATGAACTGAGAATAGCGACCTAAAAGTACTAAGTCATGTGTCTTCCTTGCCCCATCAGGTCATTTTCTTGGTGAACAGTGGATCAGAAGCCAATGATCTGGCTATGATGATGGCCAGAGCATACTCAAATCACACAGACATCATTTCTTTCAGGTAACCACATTTTATAACATTCAACTTAGCAATATTGACTTATCTCAACACTAAATGTGCATCTTTAAATAATAGCACAGAAAAAGACTATTTTCCCAGTATTTTTCCAAAGTCCATCTTGAGGGCAGGATCAAGCTAGTGAATCTGATGACTAGATAACTCCATCTAAGTTGGCCTTATAAATTCTAGAAGAATACATTAGCATTTAAAATAACAGAAAAGTATGTTTCAGTTTGCAGCCTTAGCACATTTACATAGTCTTATAAGATTTATATAAAAGACACAAGTAACAAAGCTTAAAAAAAAGATGAATGAAGTTAGTCCTGTGTTAAATCTATCTCAGGATGATTTCTGTCTAAATTCAAAGATTTGTGTCATAGCACAACACTACAGATTCCATATGAAGCACACGTGTATTTTTATAAGCCTAAAGAAATATTTGCTAACAAATAAATATGGCAATAACACATTGTGATTGTGTTTTACCAAAATAACCTTTTAGAATACACATTCCAAGACAAATATTGATCTGTTTGAAGCAGAATTTGATGTATACTGCCTCCTTTTTTCATGATCATTCTTGAAAATAAAATTTGGAGCTCATTGAAGGATGATTTTGATTTAGAAATTTTCTGAATTGATTAGGATGATTTATACTAAGAATGACTGTTTCAGGTTCAAAGGAAGTCAAAACTGTTTCTAATATGCTAAATAAAGTCACATCAGTCACAAGAAGAGAACATCACTCTCCAGTGACATTGAGCAACAGTTTCATCACAGGAACAAATATTTGTCTTCCTAAGATGACTGCTTTGAAGATTAGCATGGGTTGACCATGTGATCTCTGGAATGCTACTAAAAAAAATCAGTCTCATAATTTTAGAGTGACAGATTCAAAATTAAGAGTCCTTGGTCAACCAGTCTTCAAAATTATTTTCACAGTTTCAGATCTATGAGACCAGTGGAAAATATCAGTGAATACATTCACATACCATAAGTTTAGATGGATTCTTAAAAGGTGTCAGATTTGAATGTTTATGTTGTTCTATCCATCCTGTGTCTTTTGTATTTTTTTTTTACTGAAGCAAGTGAACTATCAAAGAGAAATAAACTTGACCTCATCCTCCCATGTTTCTCCCCCACAGAGGAGCCTATCATGGATGCAGTCCTTATACACTTGGCTTGACAAATGTAGGGACCTACAAGGTGGATCTCCCCAGCGGGATGGGCTGCCGATCAGTGAGTTCTGAGACTTTCATCTTGTTTCAATACAGTCTGCTGGGATTACAGGATAATTGATCAGATTTTCTTGATACCGGAATTAGAAATTAATATAAAGCATGCCATTAGCCAAGGCCTCAATTTGACTTAAAAAACGGAAGACCAGTTGAAGAAAATGTTTCTTAGAAATGCCCATAGAATCTGAGTTAATATAGTTAATGACACAGTTCTGAATTTTATTTTGCTCATACATACAATCTAGGAGACTCAAGGATCTTAGAAACTTGAATACACAAAGAATACACAAAGTTTCTATCAAGTCATCCCTGTCCTCACTTTCTGTTCTCACAGGCTGTGCTCATCTTTTTCAGCATCAGAACCAGATATCTAATTATCCTTATTCTTTATGATGCCCTCATCTGATAAATCTTTGAGAAAGTTGGTTCTGGGCTAACATCAAAATTAATTTTCTTTGAAGAGTGGTCGGTCACATAAGTAATTTCTAAGAAAAATGTCTCTTCAAAAAAGATTACATTTTTATCATTAATGAGAAAGGAATGAAAAAGGAGTCTCAGTATCAAATTGAGAAGCCCACTTCCCTTAGTTGTCACCACATGCATCCCCAAATTCACTATTTTGTATCAGTGTTTTGCCAAAATTCCTCTTTTGTCATTTGCAGACAATGTGCCCAGATGTTTTCCGTGGCCCCTGGGGAGGAAGCTACTGTCGAGATTCTCCAGTGCAAACAGTGAGAAAGTGCAGCTGTCCTCCAGGTCCAAATGGGCAGGGAGGAAGGGTGGAGGTGAAGATTGGGTGGGGTGAGGAATTTGGAAAAGGGTAAAACAATCAAATTTGGGAAATTGGGGAAGGGAAAAGCACCCCCCAAAAAAAAAAATGAGAAAATACTAAGTGAGCCCTCATGAACTCAACGCTTCACATACCCACTCTTGTTGAACTGTCTCACCTGCCATCTGGCCATGTGGGGAAAGCTTCCCATGCTCTCAGACCTAAGCCTATAAACAGCATGTCAGCTTAAGTGCATCTATGAAATGAGTTCGATCGTTCATCAATTCCCAATGGAAGAGGGGAAGAGGGAAAAGGATACATCTACAAATCTCAAAATACCAGTCAAGAAATTCCCCCAGGGATCCTTAATGCCATCCAAACAACATCTGTCCGGCACGGGGCTGTTTGTGAATGCCACTGACACTGATGTCTCTTGCACAAGATTTGATCCTTCCTGCCAGGAGAAGTTCTATTTATCAATCACATTTTTTTATTTGGATTTGTGACATGAAAGATAAGGGGAATGGAAACACTGCCGGCTCTTTTCTAGTCAGATCTGTCATCATATTACAGAACTATTTGAACAGCTGCTCCTCGCCAGTTCTAGAGGAAGGAACAAGTGCCCCAGCCAAAAGACGTTTAATGGAATAGGGTGAGTCACTAGGTTGAGAGGAAGAATGAAAGACGGAAACCTCAAAAATTCAGCTTTGAATAGAAAATAAATCAGTCACCTTAAAACTCATACAAGATAATAACAAAATGGAGAACGAAAGGCTGAGCATCGGAACCAGACAAATGTCATGGTCACAGAGCTTAAAAACCCACTAAAGGGTCTGGCTACAACTCAAACTCAGTTTTAAGGAAGATAGGCTGAAGTTCACATTCAGGAAGTAGGAAAACTAGGATTGACCTCACGTCTTCAGACCCTGGCTTCAGAAATCTAGAGCTCTCAATCGCTGTGACCACCCTCATTCAGACATGTATGCGAGCAAGGTGAACCCAAGCTGAAAAATAATTCCTTTCCTTCTTCTTTTCCATGATTGAGGACATGCGTGGAGTCAGGAGATCTAGACTCTACTCCATCTTGGGCTTCAGTTTTCTCATTTATAAAAATTAATAATAATAATAATAGTAATAACAATAATAAATACCTAGGGGTAGCAAAGCCTGTGCCTCACTCCCATCATGTCACGTCTTAAGATCGGGAATACACAAACCTTTTTAGAGGAAAGCATTTAATAATAGTTTCAATTTCCTTGGGAATATATATGTATATCACATATGTATGACAACAAGAATTAAAGTCAGCCAGGTACATCTCAGAGTTCTCAGGCCCTCCACAGAGCCACCAGCAAAGTCTAGAAGATTGTAGCATTTCAATACTGGTCACTTCCTTCCCTCCTTATTCTGAATCCTTCCCTTTGTCCATCTTTTCTGTATTCTTTCTCTTAGAGGTCTTCCTCTAGACCAGTGGTTCTCAACCTATGGGTAGCAACCCCTTTGGGGGTTACATATTAGATATCCTGCATATCAGTTATTTATATTGCAATTCATAGCAGTAACAAAATTACAGTTATAAAGTAGCAACAAAATAAGTTTATGGTTAGGAGTCACTACAACATGAGGAACTGTACTAAAGGGTCGCAGCATGAGGAAGGTTGAGAACCACTGCCCTAGACCATCTCAAAAACATAAGAATAGCATGATAATCTCTCTTAAGTGTCATCTAGAGGATACATGATTGTGGAAGATATATGTTGTCCTTTGTGTATCTAAGCTCCTGTTTTCTTGACTGTTACCTTATAGATACAAGATGGTATCACATTTTTATTTTTCCCTTTTATTGAAAAATAGATTCTTTTCTCATATAATATATCCTAGTTACAGTTTCCCCTCCCTCTACTCTTCCCAGTTCCTCCCCACCTCCCCTCCCATCCAGATCCACCCTTCTCTGTCTCTCATTAGAAAAGAGCAGGTTTCTGAGAGATGGCAACAAAACATGACAAAATAAAAGATAAGATAAAACAAAAACCATCACATCCAAGTTGGACAGGGCACACCAACACAAAGAAACGAGCCCAAGAGAGGGCACATGATTCAGAGACCCACTCGTTCACACACTCAAGAGACCTGTAAAAATACTGAACTGAAAGCTAGTGTGTGTGTGTGTGTGTGTGTGTGTGTGTGTGTGTGTGTGTGTGTGTAAGCGTGCAGAGGATCTGGTGCAGACTCATGCCGACCCTGTGCTTCCTGCTTCAGTCTCTGTGAATTCATATGAGGTTAGGTCAGTTGATTTAGGGGGCCCTGTTCTCCTGGTGTCCTCCATCCCTTTCGGCTCTTACACTCTTTGTGCCTCCTCTTCTGAGGGGTTCCCTGAACTCTGAAGGGAGGGATCTGATGGAGACCACCCACTGAGAGCTGTGACACCACATTTCTAAATAAGATACAAAAGTGGACTGCAGACTCCAGTGGTGTCTTTCTGGTCAGTCATTGTGCTCAGTCACCATGTCAAGTAATTTTAATGTAAATGCTTCAAGTTTGCAGTTGCTTCTAGAGTTTTCTCACTGGATGCACACAACTGTAGTATGGATATTTTCATTTCATAATTATATCGTCAGATCCCAGCTTAGACAGAGGCCAGTTTGTTATTTTTATATGGTAGATGTCATAATCTTCTATCTACCTCCTGGATTGTTTATTCTCCAGAGATTCATTCAAATCTAAGCCCAGATTTCCAGGCATACCCCATGATGGAATTTACCTCTTGTTAACCACTGCCCTTAGAGTGTCCCAAAACTGGCACTGATTGTGCCATTCTTTCCTTTTGGAAAGGAACTCTTCCTTTTCCTTAACAATATTGTTCTTTCTTGGTGTCTCACTCTGCTTACCTCTTTCTGTAATACCAACTGAAACAGACTCTAAAGTAATAGCTCTGTTATGATATCCAACAGAGCATCCACAGTCTCCTGATGTTGTCATGGAGACATCAATGCACCCTATCTCTCTCCATAGGAAGCCTGACCTGAAGTTACAGGAATGGGCCAATGCAACACACCCTAAATGGAGAAAACACAATAAATGGTCTTACTTCTCACCAAACACATGGATAGGTGCTGGTAAAATATGAAATATGTAGGATAAACTCAAGCAAAATATTTTTTGATATGATTTTACCCTGACTTAAGCACTTAAGGCTAATTTGCTCTGTTCTGATTTTCTTAGTTACAAAAGAGCTTGCCAAACCCAGAAGCCAGGTCTCTTTTTTTGTGTTTGATATATCTGCTAGAGTCATCCAAGGCTCTTGTCTCTTCTTTTCCTAATAAAAATAGACAATTTGACTCCAAAGATATCAATAAAGCTTTGTCAATAAAGCTTTCCTAAATGTCATATGCATTCTCGGAACATGATGGGTTTTTTTTTTTTTTTTTTTTTTACTTTTTAGTGAAGCAGGAATATAAATGCATTTGGGTTTAGTTTACTTTTATAATACAAAGTGCTGAGGCCTCCCACCCCATCCACATCTTCCCCTCGATCCCTTCTGCGGGTATAGATTTGGGGTTACGTTCAGAGATGCTATGGTACTGGTGAGAACTAAAGCATGAATGTAGATGAACATCCTTAAAGTTCAGTCACATGTAGATACTGCTCATCTTGCTTACCTTCCTCCTGGAGCATTTCCATATCCAAAGGCGGAACATATAGATGGTGGCTCCTGGAGCTTCAGTAAACTTGCTGAGTAATGTTCTGTCTCTTTGTGTTCTCTCCCATTCATATGAGTTTATGCTTGCTTCTCTGTGTACTAAGGCTTACATCTAGGGATGCATCTATAACCACCACCAGGGATATTTCCAGCATCTTGAAGCAGGATGAGAATACAAATCTGTAACTTCTGAGACATTTGGAATGGATGGACAACTGCTGCCAGGCTTAACAAGACAGATAGTCCAAGTTACCTCCATCTGAAAATAACTAAAACGCATGCATAAAATGTGAAACACACCCTTATTGAAACAAATAGCAATACAAGAGAATAAGAAACCCTGAAAATCTTGTAACAGTTGATTAATACTGGTAAACGTTTTCAAATACTTTTCCAAACTTAACTACAATAGTCCAAGTTCGTATTTGCAAAAAAACTAAATTTCATACAATTGAACTCAAGTATGTCACTTTTAATTGTTTCTAAACATGAACCCAGAAAGAATGTTCTACTAACCAAAGTACACCTAGAATTAAACTAATAGAAAATGTGACTACGAAACATAGGAAACTCAAATTATTCCTTCCTACATTTCTGGCAAAGAAAGAAACCCAGAACACACAGACACCAAGTTCAAATTCTTTGTGCAGAAAGGAAAACCCTGTGTTCAGAGACCTTGTTTTTCTTCTCTATGAAATTTTTTAACTGAGAAAATTAGTGAAACATAAATCATAAAGAATAAATGTTGCCACTTGAATAATACTTTCCATACATATTATTAGGCAAAAGTATCCCAGTCACAATTTTCTCTAAGATACATTTTTTTAAAAGGGAGTTGTAGGGAATGGGAAAATGGCTTAGTGGTTAAGAGCACTAGAGGACTTGGGTTCAACTTCCAGCTCCCACATGGTGGCTCACAACTATCTGTAATTTCCATCTGATGCCATTGTCTGACCTCTGTGGTTACCAGTTGCCAATGTGGTGCACATACATGCAGGCAAAACACTTGTATAAATAATAAACTTTTTAAAAATAGTAAAAATTGGCCGGGCGGTGGTGGCGCACGCCTTTAATCCCAGCACTCGGGAGGCAGAGCCAGGCGGATCTCTGTGAGTTCGAGGCCAGCCTGGACTACCAAGTGAGTTCCAGGAAAGGCGCAAAGCTACATAGAGAAACCCTGTCTCGAAAAACAAACAAAAAAAAAATAGTAAAAATTACTTCTAGTTGGACATGGTGTTACACACCTTTAATCCTAGCACTTGGGAGGAAGAGGCAGGTGATTCTCTATGAGTTCGAGGCCAGCATGATCTATAAAGCAAGTTTCAGGACAGCCAGGGCTATTATACAGAGAAATCCTGTCTCAAAAAACCAATAGATAGATAGATAGATAGATAGATAGATAGACAAAGATAGAGAGAGATAGAGAGATAGACAGAGATAGAGAGATAGAGAGATAGATAGATGAGTATACAAAATCCTATTCTGCTTCTCCTGCACACACTGAACTACTAAGTTGAAATGACAGATTTCAATTTTTCTTGCCAATACCACAACTTCTAAAATCTTTACAGATGTTTTAAATGTTTAAATTATGGCTTCCTTAAAAATGAAAAAATAGGGCGGGCTTTCTTAGAAATAAAAATGGGTTATGGGAAATTATAGTAAGTTTTGTCCTGAGGGTACTTGGAAAACAGGGGAGCTTGAGCTTCAGTTTTAAGGTTTCACAGAGGGCAGGGGAGAAATGACAAGATAGGGCACATCCACAAGAGGAGACACAACATGAAAGCCTCCCCAGTCACAGAGCTGGTAAGAGGGCACACATTATCCAAGGGTCTACTGGAAATCAAGGCACCAGCAGTGTATCAAGGCGAGAAGCTCTGCAAGGATTCTTCCACTGAATAGAAGTAGAGGAGACTCAGTAGGAATCATAACTGAAAAATCTCTACTACAAGCTACCCACCCTGAGGCTTTGTATTCTGAACTCTACTACCCCTGGCTGATTTGGAGGCAGGAAGCTGCAAATGGAGAGGTACTCTGACAAGCCTACCTCATTCTAGGCTTCAAAGAACATTCACACATACTAAGGAAAATAAGCCACCCATAGTCAAAACTAATACACAAGGAAACAAAATTCCACGTTCTAGAAAAAGACCACAAAACTCCGGGTAATGGAATTATCAGACAATGGAATGTGTATGTTCATTAAATTTAAAGAAAATTAAAAGGTGAGTACAAATTTGAAAATATGTCTAGTACTTAAGAAACTCTACAAAATGACAAAGGAGTTTTTAGAAACAAGTATGTCTTCTATTAATAGTCATTGACCTTTAAAACTCAGGGAGTGGGTTCATTATCAGTTCAACCTGGACAACGAGTGGTTAACATACTAAAGGCGTTCCCTAAACAACAGTTGATCTATCCAGAGAAGAATTTCAAGTAAAATTGCTCACTATATCACAAACCTATCACAACTTCCACTACTTATTTCCCTCTGATTCTTTAGAAACTTGCTGAGCCTCTATAGTATATCAGACACTTGACATATTTACAGATCCCAAAAATCAATGTGCCCTCTGTTGATGAAGAAAGACCTATAAATAAGAAACACAGAACCTAGAGTCAGGAGCTACCATGGAGAAAACTTCTCTGGCTCTAACACATCCTTCTTTAAACTGAATTCTGATGGTTAGATAAGCATATTTACTGACTGAACGCAAAAGCACTTTGCAGTTTAAAAGCGTACATCAGAAAAAGTGACAATCAACAGTAAAGTTGCATTTAAACAAATTAAGTCACCCCAATAACACTTGAGTCAGATCTACCCATTTAAAAGGATGTTCATTATATGAAATGGCTGTCCATACTAGACTTGATACTTGGGTGTATTCCTTTCACAACTGAAATTATTGAAGTGATCTGTTCATGCCTTTATGACTGTCTTCATAAAGTCATTCCTGCAGAATGCCCCCTCCCTTTGAGAGATAAAGACCTGTGGACCCCAGCTCACCACAATCTAGGGACCTCCAGTTAGTTGACTGTTGATGTTTCTTTGTGCTTTCTGGAGGCCATTCTCACATTACTTTCTGGGATATGTATTTGTGTGTGCGTGTTTGCTGCAGACCGCTGCCAAGCTAAAGACCAGTACATCGAACAATTCAAAGAAACCCTGAACACTTCTGTGGCCAAGTCAATTGCTGGATTTTTTGCAGAGCCAATTCAAGTGGGTATACAAACCTAGTCTCTCTCCGAATTTTCCATTATCACAGTTTTGACTCCAGATTAACTAAGTACCCGTTTCTGTGTTCTTCCCCAAGTGCAATTCATTCCTTTGGTCCCCTTTTAAGAACACAAAGCAAAAGAAACAAACAAACTAGTTTTCAGTAGACCTCCAAAAGAATACATCTTCATTCCCACACAGAACAGACGGGCAGATAAATAGTTGAATCCCTAAAGTCCTCAGGAAAAGAAAACCCCTTTGATGTTCAACTATTTAACACACACTGTTCAGGAGCCTATCTTTAACTATGTAACACACACTGTTCAAGGGGAACCTATCTTTAACTATTTAACACACACTGTTCACCTATCTTTAACTCATCCAGCCTCCTTGTTTCTAACCTCAGGAAAGAACAGAGTCACGCCATTTCTCCTGAAGGCACGGTATGAAAGTTCCACTTGGAACTTTCTACACGCTGCTCATTCAGCTGATGGCATTATGTCATGGTGATGAGGATAATGATCTATCCTCATCCTTGGTGCTGAGTGAGGGCCCCTGCTGACACTCAAGTCTTCCTGATTTAATCTTTTGCAGGGCGTGAATGGTGTTGTCCAGTACCCGAAGGAGTTTCTGAAGGAAGCCTTTGCATTGGTTCGAGAGAGGGGAGGTGTGTGCATTGCAGATGAAGTGAGTAGCCACATCAGGGAATGACTTGGTGCAGTAGGAACACGCCAGATGCAGAAAAAGACCTCTTCAAACCCTCTTTGACATCTCAGGCAGAAAGCAAGTGCGTGAACTCTGAAGTGTGGCCATAAACGAAAGAAGCCTCTGCTGGTTTCTTCGAAAGTTAATCAGAGTAACAAATATAACGGAACTTAAGCATCCCAACTGGTTTCTATTTTAAAAGTTGCCTGTGGGCATGGGTGATGCTACCGTTCCACAATGTGCTTTTATTCCTGCAGTTATTATTATTCCTTGCTCTAAGAACTGTTGCCAGACCCCTGACAAGCTGTAAAAGACATTTAATCTCGTAGTCTAGTGTTCATCTTAATTTTTGCCAAGGCGGTGTCAGCTAGATTGTTTTTAAAGAATAAGTAATAGTTCAGCCTCTAAATTAGAAGGTTGCTACCACGTCAGACATTGAGGCTTAGATCGCACAACTTGTAAAGTGTCCGAGTAGGGGCAGCCCAGCTGAAATAAGTACATGGTAGCCCCGGGGGAGATATTTTGAAGGAACTAATACTCACCAGCATTGTGGGCTCCAGTTCACATACTTAGAATTATACCTTGCATTGCAGTGTATCAGATAAGGCAGCATTTTATCTGCTTAGAATAGCTCTAGAGTTTTTTTTCTTAAGACCAGAGGATGGTACCCTGGCCACAGAAGTCCTCCCACTTCACCGCTGGAGCCCAGCATGATTGCACAAACAGGTGGCTTGACCCACCAAGGACACATGGGAAACCTGTGTGTTCCCTATATGCGCAGGTCTCACTTGCCTTTACTGATTGTTTTCCTCGGCTAAAATTTCCTCACAGTTCGTGCTGGGCTGCCCCATTGACAGAAATCTTGTAATTGCCACCACCACTTGTGTGGTCAGGTCCCTGTCGGGCTCAGAGTGTGCCAATGCCAGCGCTGTACAGTAGCAGCTTCAGCAAAGTCTTCCTGCTCTGTTCCCCCTCCCTTCTTGTACTAGTGGGCTCATCAAGGTCCCATTGAAAGGGAGGTAACTGGTTATTAACAAAAAAAAAAAAAAGGAAATCACATTCAATCAGCTTGAAATTAGCTGTCTCAGGAAAGAGGATAAACGTTGGCCTTGGAATCCACACAGAGCAAAGCTTTTACAATCACACTAATTAGAAGGAAGGTAGGCTGGATTCAAAGAAAACCAGAGCTTCAGAATTTCCAGGAGATGTGGTTTCATGATGTTCTCTTGTTTTTCTCCCACCGCCCCCCATTTCATGACTTTCAAGAACATAACATGAGGCAAATTTAAGAGAGATTGGGATGTTAACTAGTAACAGGATAATAACAGAGACGAGACGGGGCAAGAATACACTGTCCCAGGCCCCTACTGCCACAGCCTCAGGTGTCCTACTCCCTACCCTGTGTGCCCCATCCCCTGGAGACACTAGGATTTACGCACATGAGAATGATCATTCTGCCCTACTGTGCATCCAACACTATGGAACACTTCGTCTCAAGTGACTGGCCATGCTTTATTGTGCATGGTGTGTGTGTTTTCCAAACAATCATCTGTTTCTTCCCCATTTGTGCCATTTTTATGCCGCTTAAGATAGATGGAGAAGAGAAGGAACACAGGCCAAAAGACAAACTCCATGGAATTCCTACATTATTATTTGGGCAACTTAATCAGCTTGTCCTGTGGCCTGTTGCTAGGAAGTGAAATCTTGGCATTCCAGGCTGGATCAGTCAGACTCCCACGTCTCAGATCTTCTCCTGTATTGGTCACTGTCACTGAAGAGTAACTCTTGGAATCAGCTCCTCTCCTATACTGGTCACTGTCACCTAAGCATAACCAAGAACTTAGCTGCAGCAACTGGTAATAAGGGTAAATGGGAAGGAAGGAAGGCTTTGGGGAAAAACAAAAAAAAAACACCTTGGTCTTTGATGCATTTGAGACTGGGTGTCCATCCCACCCTGCCAAGTGTGCATGTGGTGAGAAAGACAGGCAGACACAGCAACACAAACAGACAGAGATCAAGAAAGGCTCTGCTCTGGTGATATTCATGACATCTTTCTGTTATGGTGTCTTTCCTTCTACCAACACTAGGAATCTAACTCAGGCAGGGTTCTCAGGATGCATGCAATGGTAATCAGAATCCATTGAGAGACTCCGGTGGTCACATGTCCTGAATGCTTTGAATAGAGCCTACTGGGATTTACGATGGTAAAAGTGTATTTTGAAACATAAGTCACTGAGAGTAGGGACAGTATGAACAAAAGCTGTGATCAACTTTCAGTGTATGGCTGGCTCTAGATTATACATTGAATTCACGAGCTCAGCTGTGTCCTCCTCATAATGCAGGAAGATGAGAAGACAGCAGTCTCTCATTGGGTGGTAAGCATCCAGCCCTTCCGGACAGACAGTTACTCTTACTTGCTCCAGGGCATCCAGTTTCTCCACTTTTCTCTCTGGTTGTCTTGTGCCCAGGAGAGACTTATTAAGGTGGGTTAATCATCCCGATGTCTTTTGCATGTGTTATTCATATAACTCTCAAGCAGCCCTGTGCTGTACTGTGCTCTGCTGATTATTTCTTCTTGATAAGTTAAGCAACAGATTCAAAAGACATAAAGAATATTGCCAAGGAATTTCCAAGCTAGGAAATGGCTTTTGATACCCACAACCTCAGACATAGGTCGAGGGCTTTGTCCATAAGACTGCAAGTAGAGAAAGGCTAAGGAGAGACAAGAAAGAGGTAAAGGGAAGGGAATAGAATAGAGCCTGAAAAGTTTCCCATGGTTTTTAATCTATTTCCAGGTGCAGACAGGATTTGGAAGGCTGGGCTCTCACTTCTGGGGCTTCCAAACCCATGATGTACTGCCTGACATTGTCACCATGGCTAAAGGAATTGGGAATGGCTTCCCAATGGCTGCAGTTGTGACCACTCCAGGTACAATGTCCAGCGTGTCCATGCTTGCTCCTAGGCCTCCTGCACTGGCAATAGTATAAAACATGGGTTGCAACGTGTATAGGCTAGAGGTGGTGATGGGAACCACATGATATGTTGTCCAAGCAAATGAAAGAGAAAGGTGCCAGGCCATCGGGCAGTTGGAAGAGAGCCAGCCATTCCTCCCATACCGGAGAGAAGACAACCTCTCTCTCCACATCACGGTAGTTAAAGTCAAGATTCCACCATACCGAAGAGGGTTAGGAAAACAGGTTACAAAACAAAACACTGAAGCTTCCAAAAGAATCTTTTCTTGAAAGAGACTCTTCCATGGTCTCTTGGTCTTTCCATTCAAAGTCCAGATTTCTCTGTCAATGTCCTATCAGCCAAATACAATGAAATCTCATTTATTCAGAACATGCCATGACAGTGGTTCTCAACCTTTGGGTCGCAACCCTTCTGGGGTCATACATCAGATATCCCACATGTCAGATAGTTACATTAGGTTCAAAACAGTAGCAAATTACAGTTATGAAATAGCAATGAAATAATTTTATGGTTAGGAGTCACCACAACATGAACTGTATTAAAGGGTCACAGCATTAGGAAGGTCAAGACCCTGCTCTATGAAATAAAGGTTAAAATTTGATTTTCTATTGTAGTGAGACTTTGACCGATATTGTTTCTTGTGAACCATTGATTGTCGAAAAATTATTTTATATGTATTTTTTCCCAATAGTCAGCACGTTTCTGGGCCATTAAATAACTAAAATCTTGTGGTATCTGTTTTCATAGACTAAGCAAAAGTAAAAGAAACATAGCTATGCATGGAAATGCAAGAATGGATAAATCCATTACTTTGTATAATCATTACATTAATTTAAAACCAAAAATGTATGATCACAGAAAGCGAAGTGTAATGAACTGCCCTTGACAGAATTATGCTGCTGAATAATATGAATTCACATCATATAAGATCATTTCCTCAATACTTCCTTCTTAGTCTCAAGAGTAGAAATAAAAGATTTGGTTGACTGAAGAGTTTACGCGAAGTCCTGCAATGTCAAGTTTTAAGATGCTTTCTAATTTGTGTGACACATTAAAGAGTGTGCTGCCACCTCGTTAAGTAAATAAGCTGTCTTGCTTATCTACGTATTAGTCAGCTCGGGCTGACTAAGCAAGACACCATGGATCAAGTGACTGGAACAACAGAAATTCATCTTCCCACAGAAGAGAAGTCTGTCAAGACCAAAGTGCAGCAGGGCTGAGTTTCCTAGGATTCTCTTCTAGCCTTGCAGATGGCCACCTCCTCATCATTTCTCTAAATGACCTTCTTCCCTATGTACGCCCACAGAAGAGAGATGAGGAGCACTCTAGAAGCTCTCATTGTTATAAAGACATCGTCCCGTGGGATTTGGGCCCCAGCTTTGCAGTCCAAATTAATACTAATGACTGGTTTAAAGACTCTACCTCCAAATACGGTCATATGTGGTCCTATCATTTCAACATAGAGTTTTAAGGGGACACAATTCAGCCCATCACTGTCAGATGAGTAGAGGAGGAAATAAATGGATGTCCTTTACAAGATGGAACTGAATGTGACCCCAATGTCACGACGAGACATAACGGGTGAGAATGTGTCACTCTAACCTCTTCTGTTTTCCCCCCTTAGAAATTGCTAAATCTTTGGCTAATCGCTTACACCACTTCAACACGTTTGGAGGAAGCCCCCTGGCCTGTGCCATTGGATCTGCCGTGCTTGAGGTCTGTCCTATCCCTCACACCGACTCCCTTGATGGCATGCACTAAATAACTATTTTTAAATCAACACTCTAGACAGACTCTGCCACATTGCAATGGTAAAAGAGAAATGTAATCAATAATTCACCAATTTAAATTTTGTCTGCAGTTACTATTCTCTGTCTCTCTTTTTTAAGATTACTTTGGGTGCTTGAAGTTCTGAATAGGGGGTAATACATAATCAACTTCACATGCACGGGAAATCTAAGAATTGCCCTATCCAGGCGACAACCCTGAATTTTGCTTGTTTTCTAGGTAGTATTTGTTGTGTAGGTTTTAACAGCAAGTCACCCTTTTAACGTAACTTTTGCCATACACTACGGATTTCTTCCTTTTTGTTGTCATAAATGAAAGAACTATAGAGAAACTATAGGATTTAGTTGATTATATCAGGGTAATACAGCTACTCTGGAAAAAAACTGTTCAATCCTATCACATTCATCTAGCTTAATATTAGCCAGTTTTATAATATTACTGTTTGAGAATTTTATAGACACATATAATGTGTTTTAATCAAATCCACCCCCTTTTCTCTCCCTTTAAATTACTTCCCTTTAACCACCCACCACTTTTTCCTCCTAACTTCATGTGCCCTCTTTTTTTTTTAATTCACTGAATCTACTTAGTGATGCCTGTATGTACGTACTTGCTTACGGGACTATGTACTGGACCATAAGTAACCTCTCAGGGCCCACTTTTCTGAAGAAAACTGACTCTCCCTCCCCAAGCAGCCTCCAATAGGAGTGGGATTTCTTGAGCTCCTCCTCCATCCATTCTGGATGTTCACTGGCTTCACCATGTGCAAGTCTCCTGCATCCAGTCTCAGCCAGTGTGAGTCCCTATGCGCAAGGGCACTGCGGTGGCAAGCAAATACTGTTCCGCTGCAGCCCTGCGTTCCCTCTGGCCCTTACAGTCTTTTCACCCCTGGTTCCACAATGATCCCTGAACCCTCAAGGGAAGGAATGTGATACAGATGTCCCTCTGAGAACTGAGCACTTCACAGCCTCTTATTCTCAATGTGTTGACCAATTGTAGGTAATGATTGCCATACACAACAAAAAGATGTTTCTCTGATGAAAGTGAAGAGACATTCTTCGTGGTCCCTAGGAGAGAACTAGTCACTATTATTTCGCTAAATCGACTTAGTAATAAAGTGTCCCACATTCTTGTTTTTATTATCCCATTATTTTGTTGAAAAAGCGTCCTTACCAAATGTATAATGTCTTTTGCTTAAATAAGTACAACGTGTTTCTGAAAGAACATCCAAAGAGTTTGTTTTTTGGTTTGTTTTTTTTTTTAATTCAGCTTACATGAAGTGAAACTTAGCTAGGGTCAAAGGTCAGTACAAATCATTCTGCTGTTTACACTTTCATATTTCTTATTTTGAACTACGAATATGACTCACCTACTCAAGAAATGTAAAAGTGTTTCAGATAGAAGTAAAGCTATTATTGCTAATTAAATACTTTAAGAAATGATAAAGTACTGAGATGTGAACGAGTGGGTAGAAATGTGACATTCATTTCTCTTTGTTGGCATTGGCAACTTTTTCCCTTTTATTGAAAATATCTTTTTTTCACATAATACATCCTGATTACAGTTTCTCCTCTCTCTACTCCTCCTGCTTCCTCCCCATCTCCCCTCCCAGCTCATTCTACTCCATTTCTGGCTCTCATTAGAAAAAACACAAAGGCTTCTAAGCGATAATAATAAAAATAAAATGTAATATGGTAAAACAAAAATTAACATATCACAATAAGACAAAACAAACAGAAGGAAGAGAGCCCAAGAAAAGGCATGAGGAATAGACACAGATACCCACTCATTTGCACATTCAGGAATCCCAGAAAAACATTAAACTAAAAGCTATAATATATATATGAAGGACCAGTAATGTAAAATATATATATGTATATATATATATATATGTATATGCATGTATATATATGTATGTATGTATAATAAAATAAGATAAGCCTAAAAAAAGGAAGGAAGGAAAGAAAACCCTGCCTGACACAGCATGAGACAGGGAACCTCCAAAGATGCCCTTGAGTTCATTTTCTGTTGGCCATCTGCTGCTGGGCATGGAGCCCATCCTTAAGAGTAGTCTGTTTCCCCAGTGAGACTCCCTTGGAGGAAACTAAATTTCCATTTACAAGTGGTTACCAATTGGAGATTGTGCCTTGGTTAGGAATGGGGCATGTGTCCACTTCTCCTTTCAGCTCTAGGACCTCTGTCTGGTGCAGACCCATGCAGGCCCTATGCATGCTGCCCAACTCTGAGTGAGTTCATATTTTATTGTTCAGGATTGTTTTGACTATACTGTGTGTGTGTGTGTGTGTGTGTGTGTGTGTGTGTGTGTGTGTGTGTGTGTGTGTGTTTGCATATGAGTCTGAGAATTGTCCTTTCAAGATCTGTAAAGAATTGTGTTAGAATTTTGATGGAGATTGCATAGAATCCATAAATTGCTTTTGGTAGGATCCTACTGATCCATGAGCATGGGAGATCTTTCCATCTTCTGTATCTTCTCCAATTTCTTTCTTCAAAGACTTTAAGTTTTTATCATACAAGTCTTTGACTTGTTTAGTTAGAGTTACCCCAAGGTATTTTATATTATTTGTGGCTATTGGTTATGTTTTGCTGTCTACTCCTTTTGAGTATAATTTCTTCCTTTTATTGTAGAGTTTTGAGTTGCTGTTAAGTTACCAGTATATCTCTTCAATTTTTTTTTATGTAGGATCTTAGTGCTATGAACCTTCATTGTCCCCTATAAGTTGGGGTATGTTGTGTATTCATTTTCATTGAATTCTAGAAAGTCTTTCATTTCTTCCTTTATTTCTATCTTGACCCATTTTTCATTCAGTAGAGAGTTGTTCAGTTTCCATGAGTTTGTAAACTTTCTGTTGTTTCTGTTGTTGTTATCTACTTTTAATCCATGATGGTCAGATAAGATACAGAGTGTTATTTCAATTTTCATGTATCTGTTGAGACTCATTTTATGACTGATTATATGGTCAATTTTGGAGAATGTTTCATGTAGTAGAATTGCTATTAAAAAAAACACAGAGCCAGATATAGGGGTGAAAACCTGGGAGAGCAGGGAAATAGGAAAATCCACAAGCTAACTTCATCTCACTGACACCTCAGTCTCCAAAGAGAGAGACTTACTTCCTGTATACCCACGGCTATATGCCTTTCTGTTCTGTTCCCTCATTTGCTCTCTCAGCCCAGCTACATCACTTCCTCTTCCTGCCCAGCTCTGTCACTTCCTGTCTGTCTGTACAGACATCCAGACCTCTATGGTTAGTGCTGGGATTAAAGGTGTGTATCACCATACTTGGCTCTGCTCCCCAGTGTGGAACTCACAGAGATCCAAAGAGATCCCTACCTCCCAAGTGATAGGATTAAAGGTGTGTGCTACCATTGCCTGACTTCTATGTTTACTTATAGTGGCTGGCTTTTTCCTCTGATCCTCAGATAATCTTTATTGGGGGATACAGTATATTGGGGGACACAATACATCACCACAGTTCTATGAGGTTCTGAGAAGAAGATTAGATGTCAGTTAGCTCGAACATTTCTCTGTATAGTTTTTGTCTGGATGACCTGTTTTTGGTGAGATTTGGGTATTGATGTCTACCACTATCAGTGTGTGAGGGCCAATATGTGATTTAAGCTGTATTAGTATTTCTTTTATGAATGTGGGTGCCCTTGTGTTAGGTACATAGATGTTAAGAACTCCAGTGTCCTCTTGTTGGATTTTTTTTAAAGATTTGTTTATAGATGGTTGTGAGCCACCATATGGTTGCTGGGAATTGAACCCAGGACCTCTGGAAGAGCAGTCAGTGCTCTTAACCTCTGAGCCATCTCTCCAGCCCAAGGATTTCCTTTTTTTTTTTTTTTTTTTTTTTTTGGTTTTTCAAGACAGGGTTTCTCTGTATAGTTTTGGTGCCTGTCCTGGAATTCACTCTGTAGACCAGGCTGGGCTTGAACTCACAGATATCTGCCTAGCTCTGCCTCCCAAGTGCTGGGATTAAAGGCGTGTGTCACCACTGCCTGGCCTCTTGTTGGATTTTGCTTTGATGAGTATGTAGTATCTTTCCCTACCTCTTCTGATTAGTTTTGGTTTGAAATCTATTTTATTAGATATTAAAATGGCTATACCAGCTTGGTTTTTTTTTTTTTTTTTTTTTTTTTTTTTTTTTTTTTTTTTGGTTTTTCGAGACAGGGTTTCTCTGTGTAGCTTTGCGCCTTTCCTGGAACTCGCTTTGGAGACCAGGCTGGCCTCGAACTCACAGAGATCCGCCTGGCTCTGCCTCCCGAGTGCTGGGATTAAAGGCGTGCGCCACCACCGCCCGGCCCCAGCTTGGTTTTTAAAGTCCATTTGCTTGAGATATCTTTTCCATTCTTTTACCCTGAGGTGATGTCTATCCTTTATGTTAAGATGTGTTTTGGGATGCAGTAGAAGAATGGATCCTGTTTTTGTATTCATTCGGTTAGTCTGTGTCTTTTTATTGGGGAATTGAGACTATTGATGTTGAGAGATATCAGTGAGCAGTGTTGGTTGATTCCTGATATTTTGTTGGTGTGGTGTGTGTGGGGGTCCTCTTTTGATTTTCTGGTCTGGGATTATTTAGTCCTTGTGTTTTCTTGGATGTGTTTAACCTCTTTAGGAATAGGACTGGGCTAGGACAGGGAATGGGGACTCTGCAGGAGAGAGGAAAGCAAGACTTCCTACCAGGATTTGCTTAGTCCACTGGGAATGGCCTAGAGTGAGGAGAGGCCATGGCAGGCATTCTGCTACAGAGCTGGGAATGAGGCCAGGAGGTTGGATTTGGAGGAGAGGAGGGAGAGTGAAGATCTACAGTTAGCCTACCTGCTTCACGAGCCTACCTGTTTCCCTGGCAGGCTTGGCTATGGGGTTCCCAGGGAATGCTTGCTGAAGTTGGGGGCTGGGATGAAGCAATAAGTTGGGGGAAGGGAGGTTGGAGAAGAAGATCTGTGTGATCAAGCGGGGAGGGGAGGGAGGGGAGGCTGCCCCGAGTGGTCTGCTACAGATCTGGGAATGAGACTGGAGGACTGGATTTGGAGGAGCAGAAGGAGCCCGCTTCTCTGGCCAGAGTCCAACCTCTTTTCCCAATGTTAAGTCATCCCAACCCATCGAGGCGAGAAAGAGGGTTGGGGTGAACCAACTGATCTTCAAAACATTAAGGTCAGCCTGAAATCATGCCATATGATTAGCTAAGTATAGAGGTAGTGTTCGTGTGTCTTGTCAAGAATCATAGATGCTGTAGGCTGAGTGAGATGGTTCACCAAGCAAAGACATCTGCTGTCAAACCTGACCAGCTCAGTTGGATCCCTAGTATCCACACCGTGGAAAGAGAAAACTGACTGCCGAGAGCTATCCTCTAACCTCCACGTGCCCCGACGCACTTAACACAGAACAAATAAAAACACAATTAAAATTTTTTAAACCCATCACAGATGTCCACTGTAAGTGGAAGTTAGATGAAAAATGTTTTATACCTCAGGTTCCTTCACTGCAGATGCACATGAGGCCCAGCTAAGGGAAGCAATACCCCACACTGGAGTGTTTGGACTATGAAAACCTGTCTGGCCTCACTGTATCCCATGTGACAAGCACCTGTGGGATTTCTTTCCCCGGTTCATTTATTTATTGCTTTCATCACTGTGTGCCAGTGCTCAGCAAAACCTGGAAAAATGAACTCCACATTATGAAATACATAACCCTAACATTCCTTAAATTCTTGCTTGCCTCTACAGGTGGGCAGTTTCAGGGAAACCCCCTTTACCAAGACTGTTTCATTCCTTACAGCAGATTTTCATGTGGTCCATGGTCTACCCACATCTGTCACTGTTCCAGGTCCTGTTTGTCTAGTTATATTGCTGTAAGGAGGACCCTGGGCACTTATCTCTCTGAGCTTCTCAGGCAATCCTCCAACCTTTGCCCTGAAGATTATTTAGGGATGTCTCTCAACAGGTAATCAAAGAAGAAAATCTACAGAAAAACAGTCAAGAAGTTGGTACCTACATGTTACTGAAGTTTGCTGAGCTGCGGGATGAATTCGACATCGTTGGGGATGTCCGAGGCAAAGGTCTTATGATAGGGATAGAGATGGTTCAAGACAAGGTAATGATCTGCAGCTGTTTGGGTGGCTGCCTGGGGCCAGTAGCAGGTAATGTGGAAGTTAATAGGGCCAAATGCATACATATCATTCAAACTATGAAGCTGTTGATTACTATATGTAATACACCATCAAGGTCCATGGGGAAGGTGGGTAAGAAGCCCTGAGAGAACACCAAGCCGAGTGCACTAAAGGGAACCCTCCTCTACCTTAGAGGCTGACTCATGAGCAGGATCGTGGCTTACACATCTAAATCTTGGAAGCTAGACATAGTGATGATGATCCCCATGACTGATCTGTGAAGGAAACGGGAGAAAACAGGGCAGCAAAGCCACCCAAGACTTATCAAGGAGGACTGGAAGGGTTCCCAAGACAACTATCTAAGGATCATGTTAGAAATACAGACGCTAAGCCTTTCCAGATATACCAATTTGTCCTACCAGAAGGCCTGTGTTTTTGTAGTGTGAAAGGCTCCAGGGAATGCAGGTAATAGATAAGCTAGGGGGAAATATTTGTGTTCGTAGACTGAGGATACAGGAACACACAGAAATGATGCAAGCTCCAGCCGAAAAGTCACCAAAGTTGAAGTAGCATGGTAAGAAACCAACTTCAGTGCCTAGAGATCTGCCATGGCCTCTTGGCTCCTAAGCACTTAATTTTCCTAACCCTAACAGTTGGAGTCTTGGGGAAAGTAATTCCACACACATGGAAAAACACTTAGCTCCACACGAGCTCCATGGCCATGCTGTGGCCTGGGAAACATTTAGCTGCATGTGCTCTTATGCAACTTCTAAGCCACTTCCTGGACTTTAGAATAAACTCTTTAGCTAGGCAGAGCACCCTAATGACTTGAAGATGATTTCAACACAAACAAAACAGATCCCAAATCAGCTATTAAAGGACCAAACCCCCAGGGTAGCCTTTAGCAGAGCCAGGATTCATTTACTGCCCACGTGGAATTTCACTTTGTCTTTGGGAATTTTTTGGATAAAGTAGAGTAAAAGCCAATACTTTTAATACCCACCCACCCTACCCCCCCCCAAAAAAAAAAACCAACTCTGGTTCAGTAATTAACCGCTTTATTTAATTAGGGAGACATTGATTGCTTGAGTTTTGTTTTTTTGTGGTTTTTCTTGGGCCCCATACCTGGGGAAATAATTTTTCTAACCATTCAAACACCAAATAGAAAACTTTTTTTTTTAAATGTATTCACAGATGAGCCGCCAGCCTCTTCCTAAAACAGAAGTAAATCAAATCCATGAGGACTGCAAAGACATGGGGCTTCTAGTGGGCAGAGGTGGCATTTTTTCTCAGGTAAGAGAAGGGCTGCCTGTCAGGTAGGGTCTCTCTGGTGTGTCACTGCGCTAGAGGACCCAGCTGTACTTCCTCCATGTTATGATAATTCTCAGATATAATCAAAAGACATGGACAAGAGACAGATTCTGCCACTAGAGGGTGATGTGGTAAAGGGATTCAGTTAGCCATTTTTTTTTTTTTTTTTTTGTAGGCAAAGGAGAGGCATTAGAAAGGCCACACAAACCAGACAATTCACAGCATGGGTGATAACAGAATCATAACACTCATGCAACCTATATATACATATGCATTGTATTGTGTTTTAATTAGTTCTAACCCCGGAGAAAACAATCATAGTCATTCTTAACTCCACCCTGAAGTCTGACTTTGTGAATCTACTCAGCTTTAGTGGCCATTACAGCCCACAGCAATCTCAAATCCGTGGCTGCCCTATATGAGCCCAGAAAGAGAGGTTAGGGACCATCCTAAACATGATCCCTGATGCAGAACTCAAAAACAGTCACTCAGCATCCTTCACCTTCAGCTGAACTATTCCAAGACAGGCTCACCCCAACCCCTTCCTGGAAGTTAAACCCTGGTCTGACTTTGTGCTACAAGAATGAGACGATGATGATGATGTTAATGATGATGCACAATATGACCTGCTTCTAAATCCCTACAGCATCAGGTCCCTCACCTGGATGTGCTCCCATGGTAGAGATTCAAGAATGAGAGTGACTTCTGTTCCCCGTGAATATTATTTTTCCCTCTTTAATTTTGCCCATTTCAAAACATTTTCTTTCATGAAACATGATCGTTTCCCAAATTTAGGGAGTACATCATGATGTTTGGATTTATGAATAATGTTATAATGTTCAAGAGATAGTGCTTATCTGTCTTCTCACATATCATTCCTTTGTGATGAGAACATTCAAAATTCTTTCTTCTTGGCCTTCTTAGTTGAGGTTTTATTGCTGTGAAGAGACACTGTGACCATGGCAACTCATATAAAGGAAAACATTTTATTGGGGCTAGCTTACGGTTCAGAGGTTTAGTCTATTATCATCATGGCAGATGGCATGCAGGCATACATGTTGCTGGAGAAGGAGCTGAGAGTTCTACATCCTGATCCACAGGCAGCAGACTGAGACACACTTCCTCTAGCAAGGCCACACCTACTCTAACAAGACCACATCTCCTACTAGTGCCACTCCCTATGGGCCAAGCATTCAAACACATGAGTCTATGAGAGCCATAGCCATTCAAACCACCACGTGAACTTTAGAAATATACAGTGCATTGTTGCTACCTTTACTCAATCCAGCGTGCAGAAGATCACCAGACTTCTTTCTTCTAAATGCAGTTTAATATTTTTACCCACTTTAAACACTCCTCATTCTTCCCATTGTCCTACCCCCTTCCTGGCTAACACAATGGATACTGAAACATCTACTTCTTGCCTCATACTTGACAGCGGACATTGAAGCTATCAGACAAGATGCCTAAATAAACACTAGGAATGATTTTCTGTTCATATCAAATAGTGTAGCTTAATTATCTAAACCTTCAGTTATAAAGATATGAAGAGATTGTCTACATATTTAGCTTTTCCTTCAAATTCATGCTAAGCAGCCAGTGATATGCTGGGAACCAAAGCTACAATGATAAATGTGTTCTGATCACATTCTTCATTGAGCTTATGGAAGAAAAAAAACATACAAGCATAAAACTGCAATACAATATATTTATCTCCTCTGAAGATATAAGATGTGATGCTATAGAAGGAGAGAGAATAGATGCTGAGGCCAGTTGTTCTGGCTAGCAGAGCCTTAACTCACTATACAAAAAGCCAAAGCATAAGAAAAAGAATAGCAGAGTGCAAAGAGCTGTCCACACACCAGTGTGGCTGGAGTATCAGCTTAATGTGATGGCTGGGGACAGCTAGAAGTCCTGTTACCTTGTCAGCCACTCTTCTTGACATGTTGTACATGCTGACTCATATAATGCTCTCAACAAACCAAAGAAATCAGTCCTATTATCACCCTTACTTTAGAGGTACTTAGAAGTTAATTCAGTTGCCCAGATCGTATAAGTAGTAAGTGCATTTTTGAGTCTGTTCTCAATATTTCTACCCACTTTAAACACAAGGTTGGAGGCAGGGCATCTGGCAGGAACTGAGGATGCTCTCTGTGCTTCAGCAGTGGCTATAGAAATAAAAGGTACATTCTGGTGGTATTTTGGGAGTGAACTGCCCATGATTTGGGTCTGAAAAATAAGCAAGAGTGAAAAATGAAAGCCTCATGTTGGATTTGGCTTACAGTGGGCATGAGTGCATTCATCCTTGAACATGCTTCATTTAAGGCATTTGTGGGTCCCTGGTTTGGTAATTGAGCATGTGGTTAAGTGGAAAACATTGGGGTAAAGATTATAGTTTGGGGTCATCAGCACATTAATGGTAAAATGAAGAAAATTGGGGAAGTCTAGTGTCCCAGTGAGAAGCTTGATGAGGTTGGGACAGAAACTTGGGGAAGAACTCCCTTCAGTAGACAGGAGGGAAGGGGAGGAAAATGGAGACAGGATGGGGTATGGTGTGCCCAGAGTTTAGAGGAGTGTGGATTATAGAAGAAGAAGACAAGATGAATCAGGGAAAGGGATGCCCAAATATGACGCACAGGAGAGATAATCAGGAAGGGCATGGCTGGAAAATGCCCAGTGGATCTCATGCCTTGCAAGTAACCTTAGTACAGTAATATCGGAAAACTAATAGGACAGAAACCATGCTGCAGTGGGTTGGGAAAAATGGAGTGAAGAGTATCAGCAAGTCTTTTAAATAAGAGTAAAAGTAGCCGGACACGGTGGCCCATGCCTTTAATCACAGAGCTCAGGAGGCAGAGGCTGGCAAATTTCTATGAGTTTGAGGCCAGCATGGTCTACAAAGTGAGTTTCAGCACAGCCAGGGCTGTAACAAAGAGAAACCTTGTCTTGAAAAACAAACAAACAAAAAAGATTGAGTAAAAGCGGGAAGAAAGTGTGGTTATTACACTGCATGTCAGCTCAGATATTTGCTCAGTGTGGTCTGAATTGGGATTATGAACGATGTAAGTATCTTACTGATACTGGCTGAGCACAAGTTGAAGGGAGGTCAAAGATTTGAGAGAACATGGGAATGTTTCCTGGAATGATCCAGGGCCCACAGCTGAGGTGGACCATTTAGAACTGAAGAGTAAAGACACACCATTCTCTGAGCCTTTGGGAAAGATAAACGAATGCATGTGGGAACAAACTAGTTTAAAGAAAGACTTTGGGAGAGAAAGACTTTGTCTGGGAGTTCAATTTTCTTCAAAGAAATAGGAACTTGATTGCATTTGAAATAAGAGTGGCATGCATAGAAGTTGGTTAAAAAAAAAAAAGCTCAGAAGAAAACTACGGGTTTAAAAAGAAATGAAAGGAAGCCGACAGAGGAAGAGAATATTCTCAGGAACCAGCAGAAATTGGAGACTGCAAATGTCTGGTAGTGTCACTCAGGTCCCCTGTGTGATATTCATATATTTTTCAGCCATATACATAGGAGCAAAGCAGTTCATTTACAGCATTAATCAGCACTGAGACTTGGCCACGTGAGCAAAGCAACATCAGCCTGGAAACGTGTGCAAAATGAGGGGCGAGAGAGGGGGTAGTTCGGCTGCCTTTGTTCTGCCAACTGTGAGACAACAGAAGGAAGAGACCTGAGTGGGGTGATGGGTCAGAAAACAATGAGGGAATGAGGAGCCCCAACTTCTTATGAAAATGGTGGGCACGATGGGAATCAGAAATTCACTTATTCAGCCACTGACCTTGAACGTGAGTAGATACAGAACAGTGGAGATGAAGATGGGAATTGGGAAAACATGTTTTGTGGTGGCAGCAACTGAGCATGGGGGAAGTGGCCAAGATCTCAGGGGAAGCGGTAGAAGGACAAGCAGATAAACAAGTGGCAAAGAGATAAAACTCAAAAGCAAAAAGATATAAGGATTTGTGTAAAGACTTGAAGGCAAAAGAGGCCAGGAGGGAAGAGGAGGAAGTCAACCTAGGGAGAGAAATGTCAGAAATAGGATATAAATAAGTAAGGTTTTGGATTCTTCATTTAGCCCATTTCTGGAAGTCCCATTTAACTGCCTGGTGATTTGAGCTCCATTTCCCTCTGTCTCCTCAGACGTTCCGCATCGCGCCTCCGATGTGCGTCACTAAGCTGGAAGTGGACTTCGCATTTGAAGTGTTTCGCTCCGCCTTAACTCAGCACATGGAGAGAAGAGCTAAGTAAGATTTCTACAAATGAACAACCATGAGCCTCAAGAGCTTCTCAACTGTGTGCAGAGATGAAGTGAAGACGGTTGAAATCCCAAGTTGTAGATGAAAAACTGCAGCTCTCCACAGTAATTGTAAAAGACCAGTAGGTGTTTCGCCATATCTGTTGATGGAGCCCCTATTCTCCTGAGAATTCCTTCCTTCGGGGACAGGATCTATCCCTGGCTCGCAGAATAAGTCCTAATTCATGTAGATTTGTCTGGGATAATAGTATTTCCCATTGAATTAACTGGTTTGTAAATGAATACAGGGCATACGTGTCACCGATTAATCCTGAAGGAAACCCTTTCTGTGCTAACACCTCTGGGGAAGCATTTCTTCATCTTTTATGCTTCTTGTCACACTAGAAATACTGTATCCCATGATGGAATTTCTCAGTTCACATCAGGCAGCTGGAATCCATGAAGATAAAGCCTGGTCACTATGCTGTCTCTGGAAAGCTGTTGGAAGCTGAGAGGTTGGTGATATCAATGAATCACTGACCATGAATCTTGGAGCCATCCTATCTCAGGGTTTCTTGACTTATAAAATAATAAATTCATTGTGCTGCTTAAGACTCTAATATTTTCTATTAATATGCAGCCCAAGGGCATCTTGGGAAACAATGTAGGAAATACCGAGGATGATAGCTGCTCTCCAAACCTTTAACTCCCTGAAAACACCTATCAGAGCTTATTTTGCTTCTCTGTTACCCCACCATCATCTCTTCTTCATCTATACCCTTATTTCCACTATTGCAAATGCATACATCCTTTCCCAAACTCTAGTCATTGGTGTGTGCAATCATAAATATTCTTTCCTATAGGTGTCACCTGAGTCTTAGAAGTGGCAATCTATTTTTTTAATTTGACATACCCACTGAAATGTACTTCGCAGTAAACTTCACACAATTACCATAAATGAGAACATATACTACTTACCATGTTATCATGAAAACAGAGCAAACAAGGCTTGGGTATCTAGTGTATAAGGTGCTTGCCACACAGATACAGGGACTTCTGCTGTATTGCCCACATATGGTAGTGGACACTTCGTTCCAGCCCTGGATAGGCAAATAAGAGAATCCCTGCGACTCACTCCCCAGCCAACCTAGACAAATTAGCAAATCCCAGAACAGCAAGAGGCCCTGTCTCAAAAAGCAAGGTAGAGAGCCCTGAGGAATGACACCCTAGGTTGACCACTGACCTCACCACTCACTTGCATACACGCGTGCGCGCACACACATACACACACCATCCACACATGCGTACACACTAAGTTAATTTACAGTTTTAAAATCCTGTTCCCAGGAGATACAATTTAGAAATGTTTTCAGCCGAAGAATTATTTTAAAAGAACATTAGATTATATGAAGCCTATTAAAAGTAATACTGGCAAACTGACCAAGACCTTTGCCTACAAAAAAGCTGAAGGGCATCTGAAGAACTAACTTGATCAGCATGTGACTGGATGTATATTTAAATGTATGTGTCCCAGTTTGAAGCCATGTCCTGATTGTCTTATCTTTCTGTGATGTCTCTTCTAACACATCCTACATCTTGCTACCAGATTTGTTTCCATCCGGCATTGACTTAAACATAGCACTCCCTGGAGCAAAGCCTCCTACCTTCTCCATAGTGTCCCTCAGACAAAGTGAAAATCACTTAGCATGGAACTCCATGCCCTCCAGAATCCAAAAGAGCAAATACCAGAAATGTTCAGTCGGCACCATAGAAAAGTCATTGGATTAAGAGAGCAAGGACTTGCATTCTCTACTTGGTTCTTCTGCTTAATGTGCTATAAATGACCTCGAACAAGCCTTTTAACCTTTCTTAGCCCAGTTTCTTCCTAAGTGTATTAACTTACCATTGTTACTTTCAGAAGTTATCTTGGGAGTGAAGTGAATCAGTGGATATAAAACTGAACTCTGCAAAAGAGAAATTCTTTCCCTTCAAACTATATTTCCCTTCTTTCCTTCATTATTAACGTTTCCCCAGGAAGAGTTTCTGTGTCTCATGTATACTTCCTTGCCTCCCAGCCAAGACTAGCCACCATTCCTTGGAAATAACCTTATCAAAAGATCACATAGTTGACTTCTTTATGGCCAAATTCAAAAGTTGTTCACCCTAAGCAACTTCTTCTTGCACTAATACCCTTCTTGGATTCTGAAATGTGGTTCTTCTGCTTCAGATGGCTCTTTCTCAGTCTCTTTCCTAGAAAAACCTCAACCTGATGATTATGTCCTAACCTCAGGTGACTCTTTCTCAGTCTCTTTCCTAGAAAGACCTCCACTTGATGATCATGTCCTGAGTCATGAGCTCTTCTGTCATGTTGTGTTCTCTCCCTGTAGGTGACATATCCATGTCTGAAACACTGATGTGCTTTAACTATGTCAATGATTTTTAAACACCAAAATTTTCTCTGAGCTCCAACTCCAAGGTGAAAGTTTTCTGGGTACTTCTGCCTGGAAACCACAAGAACATTATAAATTCTAAGTCTCTCTCTTCTGTTGAATCTTATTTATTGATAGTCTCCTTTTAACTCGGATTCATAATTTAGGTCTTCAATTTTTCTTTCTCTAAGTTATCCTGTAGCTCTTTGATAAAATGTCATCAATACCTTCTCCAATATAACTTTTTAATATGACCCATCGATATCAAAACTGACTTAATTTTGGCAATCATATTTGCTAAACAACTAATCTACCTCTTAACTGGTATACCTGGTTAGGATGGATTTTCAGTCCTTGCTTTTCCTCTGGGAGCGGCCCTTCATTTTTCAGTGCTGTTAGGGCGTCATTGGTAGTATCCAAGATGAATTTCTGAGCAGCTAGAATGATGAGCTGAAGTTCAAGGCTCTTCCCTGTCGATTCCCTATACCAGTAACAAAGGCACTCACTCAACCCACGAGTGTCTGTGTTCAATGAAATGTTCTTCCTCTCTTCTTTTTCAGAGGAAAATATGGGGTCAGAGAGTTCAGACAAGAAAGTAATGCTTCCTGCTGATACTTTAAAACCCTCCTGTTCCCAACACTACTTGTCCAAATGAAAAGAGGACACTATTTGAAAATAAAATTTATGGTAGCCATTATTAGTAGAATATGATGATGAAATAATGAAACTCAGTTTAAGGCCAAGAACAATAACAAACCAGTTTTTTCCTCAGGCTGGGGTCCCTACAGGTTGCAGAACAATATACAATATACATGATTTTTTTGTCCCTTCCATTTTCTGGGAAGGGAAGTTGAGGGATCTAGTCATTCAAATAAAGCCATAGAGTACATTCCTTGTGGCTTTCTGAACCCTACAGACTCATGTATATACCTCATAGCATACTCTCCTGATCCCCCACCTCCTCTTCCATGGGGTCATCATATATTAGCCTTTGTTTTGTTATTGTTGTTTTGTTTTGATTTGCTTTTTGTTGTTTTGCTAGAACAGAACACTTGAGACTAGATAGTTTATAAAGAAAAGAGGTTGACTTGAGTTCATAGTACTAGAGATTGGAAAACACAAGGTCAGGAAGCAGATGTGACAAAGATGGCTTCAAATCCCAGTGGAAAGCAAAGAGACACATGGTGTATACAGACGAGAAAACAGATGAGCTGAACTTGCTTTATCACAAATGGCTGTGGCAGCAATTAATCCAGCCTGGCAAGAAAAACAGACTCACAAGACAAAAGCAGTTATCTACTCATGGAGAGTTAGCCCTCATGACCCAACCTCTGCCACCGGGACTCCCAATACTGCCACACCGCAGACAAAACATTCAAATGCTAACACAAAGTCAGCAATGTGACACCAAAAGGTAGCCAGGTGCTGTCCATCTCTGGGCTTTACATGGTTCATGGCTCTACCCAGCTCACTGATGACCAGGAGAAACTGCAACCCTTTCTCGAAAAGAGATGAAGATGAGCACACATCACATGCCTGGAGCAGGAAGGGCATGACTTGCTACCTGAGAGCATGGATGGGCAGTTATTCCTCTTCCTGGTTTATAAACGTGAAGGCATCCTTCTTTGTTCCATTTGGAGTCGTGGGCAGGAGTTTAGCACCACCATTTTTCTCTCTTCCATTTTCTGCTCTACCCACAGGAGGTGGGATATAAGCCAGCTTGCATAAGACAAGCTTACACTCTTGCCAATTTTTTCCCCTTGCCTGTTAAAACAGCCTCAAGTGAAGATAATGAATACTTAGCTCAAGTAAACTTTCCACTAGTGGAACATATTGATGGTTAAGCATGTGATTAGAATACAGTGGTAAAATGTTACCAACTGTTTTAAATATTTGGAATACCAATCCACTCAAAAAAGAATAAGGTTTTAAAATCACACTAAACTTGGGTTATAGCATTAATGATCAGAATTATTGTAAAACAATACCTACAAACAGGTGACAAAATAATAAACTGCACTCCTATTTGGATTGTAAAAATTCCATTCGTTGATCAGTGTAGTACTTAATTTTCCAGTACATTTGTCTCTCAGTATTTTTAGGGGATTGTCTCCAGGGCCCTCTGCAGTTACCAAACATGAGGATACTTGTTCTATACAGTCTGGAGAATGAGTGACTTATTAAGTACACAGCAAGCAAAAATGAAAGAAAAAGAAAAACGAATAACAAGCAGCAGATAAATAGAGGCAGCAAATGTATAGCAAAACAGATGCTCATGGCATCCATCAGAGATGACTGGAATAGCCTGAATCAAGGAGCAAACAGATGGAGCAGCATCAAAGCATCGGCTCACAGTGAGCCAGACTGGGGAAGTTGAGGCAGTCAGCTGGAGTTTCTGACTGACCTTTCCCTCCATGAATGAGCTTGCAACATCTCTTTCCCACCACTGGCGTTTTTATACCCTTTGAATAAACAATAGTAATCTGTATTGGAAATACCTTTCAGCTGCTCTTAAGGACATGGCGTTTAATACCCTTAACTGCTGGCTGCTTTTTCCTCTCTCTATTACAAAGCCAAGAGCCAGCCTGACCCAGGGCAGGAAGTTTACAGAGGACACTTGTTAAACATGTTTGAGTCTGAGACAAAGGAGGGCCTCCTTGCTGCCAGATTGCTTTCCAGGAGCTTAAGCATCACATGACTACTTACCAGTATAATGCATATTCTGATGCGTGAGTCCTTTATCTAAACAGGTGTAAATAGAATTTGCATATAGCCTTCAAACATGTAACTTAAATCACAACTAGATTATTTATAATACATAATACAATATGGATTTTGGTGTTGTTTATGGAATAAATACAAAAAAAAATACGTACATGTCTGTGATGGGTACTTTGGTTGCCAACTTGACTACATCTGGAATTAACTAAAACCCAAAAATGTCTGGGCACACCCGTGAGGGATTTTTGCTTAGTTAGATAATTCAAAGTTGGAAGATCCATTTCTAATATGGATCTTTGAGGTGGGAAAACATACCTTTAATCCAGATCTTTTAGGGTACGGAGACCCACCTCTAATCTGGGCCACAACTTCTGCTGGAAGCCTATATAAAGCACATGGAAGAAGAAATTCTCCTTTTGTTTGCTTGCTCTTGGTCTTGCTAGCAAGTCCATTCCTTCACTGTTACTACA